TTTCACATTTCTGAAAGGTAACTGGTGTAAAATAATTACAATCAACGGTGTAAATGACAGCTAAAGTATCCAGACAGAAGCTCTTTACTGTGGATGTGAGATCACTGGCAAGCTGCAGCAACATCTGGAGGTGAATGTACAACAAAAAAATGTGTAAAATGTTCCTTTATTCTGTTTATTCTATCAGGCTGAATGCTTCTTACACAGCAGAGCGTCACCGGTACAATCAGAGAACCGTGACCATCTTCAGGAGGTCAGAACAGTTTCAGTTCTCTACTGAGTTGCTTTGTTTTGGTTAATAAGCAACTTTTTCCACATTGGTGCTTCAACCTCAAATCCTGCAAGCTGAAGCTTAAAAAAACCCCCACAATAGTCCGGGTCAGAACCAGGTTTCAGGTTTATTGGATGAGTTGCCATGCAGTTAGTCAGGACGTGACAGACCGGACGATGTTTTCTGTACATGATTGAGAACTTCAGCAGACAAACAACAGCACACCTCTGATTGTCAGCTGGGTCTTTACGGGACAAAATAATGTGGACGTTCCTGCTTCTCCATGTGAAGATGCAGATTTACATTCTGAGTCTGAGAGTTGAGGCGAAGAGGAGCTGAAGAGGAGGATGTACTCATATTCAGATCTGGTCGAATGGTGTCAACAAAGACTGACGTTTTATAGATAATTGAAGAGTTTTAAAGGACCAAAACCATCTGGAGTTTAGAAATGATGCTTGGCTAAATGATAAAAATGTTGTTTCAAATTACTCCTCTCTCTTCTGCGCCCCTCTCGCCTCATGAGATGATGCTGTTTCTAAAATACCTCAGAAATCACGCAAAAGTGTTTCCACGTCGTTTTTCTTCACATAGTGAAAAGTTACCATTTTTCGTGATGTTAGCGTCGAAGCCTCGTGTTGTTCAGCAGAAATGCTTCGATTAACTAAAAAAAAAAAAGAGCTGCTGTAATGGATGTAGAGTTAATGGTTTAGTACCAACAAAAGTTTTAAAAAGACAAAACAAAAACAACAAGGATTTTTTTTTTTTTTTTTTTTCTTTACAAATGACAGGAATCGTTTCATTTAGGATAAATGCACTTAAAGAGTTCTTCACATTGAAACTGTTGACTGTTCGGAGCTGATGGAAGGAAGAAAGAAGGCAATGAAAGGTTTTGAGTTGCAGGGACGAGTTTCAACAAACTACACCGATTTCCTCACCAGACTTCAGTCAGAAACTAAAATTTTTAGCAGCTAATATTTTAGTTTTATTGCAGTTTTTGATAGTTAATAGTGAAAATGAATATATGCAACATCAAGGGTTCACTTCAGCTTAAAATTGCTTCTATTATCAAATGTGATCTTAATTGGAAATATATATTTATGTAAGGGAGGAGAACATTTAAGTGTTGAAATTCGTTCCTGAAGCGGTCAAACATCGGATATAAAAGCACTTCTGAGGTCCGAACATCTTCGTCCCTCCTGTTGCATTGATAAGAGTTTGTACCTTCTGTACATCTCAAGGCATCGATTTTCTCACAGGAAAACTAATTCAGTTCATTTACATATTCACACATGGAAAAAAAAAAAAGAGAAAGAACGCCAAAGAGCATTTGCTATTTAAGTTGCTTATCTGGTAAACTTTAGTCACAGCTGCGCATAAAGTAGCAGGCTAATGGTTAGCAGAAGGTAATGTGATGCTGTTTTTACAACAACAGATCTGTGCTTCTCCTTCAATAGTGGTCAAAACATTCAGAAAACAACTGTACAAATTGTCAGTCGTGTGACAGTGCCACCAAACATTGGCTTTATTCCAGTGGGATGCTTTTGTTTGAATCAGTTTGCTCACAAGTCGACCACTTTAGCGTGTTATTGCTAGCTGATTGTTCCTCCTGTCGCAATTAGTGACGCATTACGTAGAACATAAAATTAAATAAGAATAAAAATAAAGTAAAAAGTAAAACGGAAGTTGTAATTAAAAAATATAAGCATAATAATAAGCACTAGCTATCTAGCTAGTCAGTTTTGTGTCACATTAGCTAGCAGAGGCAAATGGTCCTTCCGTTAATTAGTTCCTTTTGTTACACTTTGGTTTGTAACATTCACCCACACTGCCACAAGAATGAAAAACACAACTCCCATCAAAACTTACTGGTTTGTAGAGAATTTCAGCTGAATCACTATCATGCTAATGGCTAATGAGAATACTGATAGATTAAAATGGCAAATAGGGAAAAGTATACAGTAAAATGATATTTGATTTTTTCCAAAATGATTTGTTGCTGCCTCAGCTAGATTATTATCCTGCAGTTGGGTAGTTGTTTAGCTAGTTGGTAACCTTTTAAGACCATCTCCATTACTATTAATGTAATGCTGTTTCACTCGAAAGTCCGCAGCGACAGTTAACTGTTATCGTGACGACGCCGCCGCTAAAAGCCTTGAGTTGAGTGGTTACTTAGCTAGTTAGTCAGAGGTCGTTAGCTAAGTGGTGACAGACCAACCCCACTAATATTACAAGTAAATAGTCAATATGTTTCATGTATAAAACAGACATTTTTCAGAAAAAGGACCAAAAAAAAAAAATCCTGAGTAAATGTTAGTTGTTATCTATTACATTTTTAATGTAGCTATGCTGGGTAGCGACATATGCTATTCTGTTATTTTATTTGAGAAAAATGCTCAAGTTTTACATCTAACTCAGGTTTTATTTCAAATATGAGCAGAAATGAACGCGTCAGTAATTGCGATAGGTAGCTTATTGAACAGTATATTATCACTAGCTAGCTGCATTGTTGCCATTTGATTGTGGTCAATCTTCAACTGTAGTTGTAAAAGGTGTAGTATAGCAGTGACCGTCTTGTTGCTAACTAACTGTAGTTGTTGTTACAATAGAGAAGCAAGCTAGCATTTACAAACCTGAACAAACTGTTTGCGAGTTAACTAACCCAACATGTTGCTGTCTACTAAATGTTTGATAGTCTACCTTAAATGCGGCAATTATTTTAAGGAAAGTGATATTCCAAGTACACAACAAATACACTGGAATAAAGCCACTGCATAGTGTTACAGCGTTAGTTCCAACATCATCATGATCAGTGTTAAAGCAGAAACAGGAAGGTTTTACCTGTCAACACTGACAACACGACTGTCTGAGAAGAACGTTAGTTTTAGTGGACTACTCCATAAAACATTCACATGTTCAGGAAACCGATCATCAACGATCTCATAAAGAAAAATAAAAGCTTCAGAGTCCGTCTCTCTTGTTTAGCCAATCCACAGAGCTGCTTCTCCTGATTGGCCGGCATTTATCACAGGAATGTATCTTGTGGCCAATAAAGAAGAAGCATTTGTTAAATATGCAAAAATCATTAAGAGACTGGCATAACTCCAACGCATCAATTCAGTTCAAAGCGATAAACAGCTGGTGAATAGGGAGAGTGAGGTTTTTGCATAAATCTATTCAAAATCAATAGTTTTATCGCTCAAAGTAAATCTAACCTGTTAGACACCCTCCATGTAAATGTGCCCTTTTAGTTCAACACTGTAGAGTTGTGGTATCATTAGCATCGTTAGCATGTGCACTGAGTGTGTTGACAGAAATATATCAACCACAAAAGAATTTGCTCTGAAATTCAACTCGGACCTAAAATGACTGCGTTCAGAAACACTAAATCACAGATTAAAGAAACCGATGTGCTGAATTTGTTTTCACCAGACACTGGTCACGTTTGCAAAAGAGTTTGTAGTTTATTGTGTTTCTGAAAATCACTTTCAGAAAAAAAAAAAAAGAAGCTTATTTCAGTTTTATGTCGTTAGATAAAGACCTTAAAATAGATCATTTAGGTGGCAACAATTAGCCCTTCATAACATATGGAAAATACAATACTGACTTACTGGACCATTAAATCTGCTTTACATGAAAACAACACTGCAGTTAAACTTCAGTCGAAAACGTTTGGATTTAAAGTTGCCAGCTAATGCTAGCTAGCACTGGACATTGTCTTCTCACTGCTTAGCCACGATATTTAACTTGTCAGGCTGGAAATATTGCTGTGCAAAGAAACAAACTAGTTAGTTGATGCACAGTTTGTACAAGCATTAAAGACTCATTCCAGCATTAAGGATGCTAATGCTAGCATGCATTTTTACATTCATCTTAAGTACAGCTAAGCTAACAGAGATTCAGTTGCTAATTTTAGACGTTTCTTCGAACAAGAATCATCGTTAATGAGACGCACAGATTCTGCAGTTGTGATAAATGTCTGGTGAAAAAACAAAGAATTCAGCACACCGAGGAATCCTCCTAGAAGATAAAACTGGTCTCAGACACCATTCAAACTAGAAAAAAAACAGTAATATTTTAGACATTTTTCTTTCTTTTTTACACCGTTTAGATTTTTTTCTGTCAACGTCCAGAGAACAGATACAAAGAAAACAACACAGAGTTCATGTTGTGCTTTCTCTATTTAGTGTTTCTGTTCTTTAAGAACAAACAGATAAATTCCTTCGGTCACTACCAAAAGCTGCTGGCAGACGTCTTTTAATAGCATGTTTCTGATATGAAGCAGAAGAAGATCAGCTGCAAACAAGCTGCTGTCATGTTGGCTTTAATGGACTCTGCAGGTTGAAGAGATATGACTGATGGCTTATTGAGGATTTTAATCCCTCAATTAATTATAAAATATTAGCTTTATGTGGGTGACTACTGATCAGTTTAATTGCACTACGATCTCGGAATAATGAGACTCCCAATCTTGTCATTACAATATCTCTGCTGATACATTTTCTTGCAAAGACTTGAATGAAAGGAAAGAAAGAGGACGACAAAGCTCTTTGTGCTTAACTCTTTAAAATGTAGGAGGAAATTTAAATAGTAAAGAACTCATTATTATGAGACAGTATCTAACAGTTACAATAAAGCTGTCACATAACTGAGATCTTATAATAACGAGCTGATGAGTCATTTCAGTATTTTATTTTTTAAATCTTTTATTTTTCTTGAGAAAAAACTGCTGGGAGTGAAATCAGTTCTTGTAAAAAGAATATAATTCACCTTTTTGCAAAGTTTTCTGATGACAAAAACATCTTTCATTTGTGTTCGCCAGTAAACTTCTGATGGCCGATAAATCAATTAGCTTCAATTGCATCATTGTATTCTTCAGATTTGGAGCTTGTAAAAGATAAAAGGATGTGAACTAATATTAGTGTTTGATGTTGTGAATGTTTACTTACTGGCTGAGGACGGATCATGTGGCTGTCACATGAGTCCACTGACGCTTAAAAATGATCAAAACACGACAATAAGCCTGAAACCAGCAGTTTAATAGGAGGAATGAGCTCTGTTGTCTGTTAGGTTTGTAGTTAACTGATGAATCATGTGCAGATTTTGGGAGTTCAGCTCAACAAGTGACTACATTAAGTTCTTTCAGCAGCAACTTTACCTTCCAAACTGATCCAGAAACCGAAGGATCCCTAAAACCAGCAGCTGGTTGAGTCGAGTCCAGTAGAATCCAGTCTGTTAGATGTGAGTTTATTTTGTTGCAGGCAGCAGCGCTTTGAATGTCCGTGATGCTTTCAGCCTGTTTAGTGTTTCTCCGACACGGAAAAGTTCCAGATGCTGAATTTAACAAGATCACGACTAAAAACTGATCTGACCCCTTCATCAGATTCCAGAAGAATCAGCAAGTTCAGATCCAGTAAATCCTGTCAGTTCAGATCCTGGTTTCCATCAGAATCACAGATCTGAAGTTTGTAGAGTCAGTCAGAGTTTAAACGCCGTGTCCGAAGGCGTCCTCGTCGTCCCAGCTGTCCCGGGTCACATGATGCCATTGGTGACGTACTGGAAGGAGTCGTAGAGTTTGGTGGTGATGGAGCGCATGGATCCGTCCACCAGCTGCTCCACCAGCAGCTGCAGCTGCTCCTCCGTCAGAGACATGTGGAAACGCTCCTTCAGGCCGCGGATGGTGCTGGAACCGTGGAAGCAGGGTAGGTGGGAACCTGGAGGGGCGAAAAATAAAACAGGAAAACAAGAGGGTTAAGGGTTAAGTTAACAAGAGGAGGACGCTGCTGCTGTGTTTCCACCAGGAAGGTTCACCTGCTGTGGCATTATAATAACATTCTGTTTTTGCAGTGAATGTAGGATTATATTTGTTACCTGCACCATTTCTACTGACTTCAATCTAGCAAAGCTGCAGGGGTCAGTTCTGGATGCTGAGCAGATGTAGATATGCAGGATAAACAGGATGGGAAACGTTTTTTTTAAAAAGGAGGGTTTAAAGCCAGTTGAGCAAAAATAAAAATAAAAATAAAAATAGCCAAATGACACCATTTACTAGCCAGAAACTGTAAAAGCAGAGGCAAGGGGGGGAAAAAAGTGTGAAAACTATCAAAAATATATAGTCAGTCTCCTTTGCTTTGATGTTTGAAGATGAATTAATTTATGTGTATTAATGGATGTTCCTCATTTGAAGCCGTTAAAAGTTACTAAGCTTTAAAAAAGGAAAAGTACAATCAGCTGCAATTCATGAAAGTGATTCAAACTGCAGATGTTACAGGTGTGTTACCTTGCTGCATGATCTCGACTATCTGCAGCACCTTCTCCATGTGTTTCCTGGCTGCGATCAGACCCTGCAGCATCAGCATCTTATAATAGATGAACATGTCTCCGTCCAGACCGCCCATCACCTGAAACACAGAAAATTAAAGGTGTTGAGAACTTCAGCTACAGGTAGATGATGCTTTCCTACTCATGTTTTTAGCCTCTATCTGGTCACATGTAGTGAAATTGGTCCAGTTAAAAGCAACAGAATTGTCTGTGAGCAGCTCCTGTTTGCAGCGTTTCATGGATTTATATAGATGACAGTCAAGGTAAGAAGCTACTCTTTAAACAAAGGCATCAGGACTTGAGTGAATATGTTGAAGGCCCTGACGCTGTACAAACAAACTATCTTTACTCACGTCCACAAACTCTGAGGTGAGCTTGAAAGCGGACGTTTCAAAGCCGAGGTTGCGAGGAGAGCTGGAGAGGATGAAGCCGAAGTCAATGTGGATGATGTGGCCTTCAGAGTCCAGCAGGATGTTCCCGTTGTGCCTGCACAGATCACAGGAGAAGATGTTCACTTCAGAGTTCCACCACTGTTAGTATAGCTAAACACTTGAGGTTGCAGCTCTGTGTAACTGGGTTGGATTTCTTTGTGGTTTCTTTGTGTCTCTGTATTCAACCTGAAGCAGCTAACAGATGATGTCTTGTTGTCTCACCTGTCTTTGACCTGCAGCAGGTAACAGATGAGGCTGTATCCAGCGCAGCTCTGGACGAAGTTCCTCTGAGCAGTGAGGAAGGCCTCGGTGGTGAAGCTGCCGTGCTCCTGCAGGAAGTAGTCCAGCAGCGACAGCTGACTCTGTTTTCTCACCTGACGGATGGGACAAAAGCGTATTGATGTAAAAATACCTGACGTCTACATGAAACATCAAAACTGTAAAGCAAACACTTGGAGACAGTTCTAGATCAGTGGGTAATAACATGAAATAAAGCGTCTGATTCACACAAACTCTGCCTTGAGTCCAGTTAAATACCTTCAGCTTAGGTAGAACTAACAGAAATTAACTTAATGTGAGAGTAGTCCAAGTCAGATTTAAGCAAAACATGATTCAAAATTGAAAAAAATCTACACTTAAAATTAAGTAGAACTCTGTTGCACAATTAGAAATGTATCTCGGTTCTTTTAATTTCAGTTTACATCTATAAAGTTGCCTTTACTAGAGTTTACTAGAGAAACATCCAGTAGCGTAAAAGTGTCTCAGTGACACCAAGAGTTAGAGAATTGGTGGTACATTATCTTCAGAGAAACCCCACAGCATCATAAAACTCTACTGGATAGTAATTTGTCCCTTGAGCGTTTTGAAGGAACCTAATTATTTGGCTCAAGCCAAATATGGGCCATAAATATGCAACCCAGCCCGAATGCCCTCCGTACCTGGTGCAGAGAGACGGCGTTGAGGACAGGTTCAATCATGCCGCTGTCTGAAGACATCACCAGGATCTTGTAGGGTTTGATCCACAGAGGAACTCTCTCCTGCTGCCAGATGGACTGAGGAAACAAACACACATATCAGATCAATGAATAGGTCAGAAGAAGCAAACAAAAATTATGTTTGTTTTCTGTCTGAAAAATCTAACTACTACTCCTGTCTCAATGTAGATAGTTTTGTGAGCTGTCACTCTGACACTGAACGAAACACATCTGCAGATAAATACATGAAGTCATTTCTTTTTAAGTATTTATTGGCACAAGTATGTTCAGTTGAAGCAATTAAAGACAGAACTGGGATGTTAGTTATTGTTTTAAACAATGTTTTTTTTAATGTGATTTTAATAAAATATCACAATTTTAAGTTTAGATTTGGATCATTTTCCCGACTGAATGGCACCACCACAGATGACCATCGCAGAGTTAAAAATCGGACAATTCTTTATATTGTTACAGTTTCTGGCTGATAAATGATGTAATTTTGGTGATTATTTTTATGTAAACATGCTTTAGGATTTTAGATGGTTAAATGTCTGTGAGATTTTTACTTGTAAAACTGAAACCTTTTCAGTGTTCAGTCTACGTGGTTACAATAAAAGGTCTGTAAATAAACTCATGCTTGATGAATGTTTTGCCATCATTACAGCTGAATGAATGAATGAATGTTTAAAGAATAATAAACATTCAGGCTGCAGCGGTTTGAGTTGATTTTCTCAAACCAGAATCTTTTGCTGCGGCTGTGGTTTGTTTCTATCTAAAAATAAAAAGGGGACATGGCTCACTGATGTATCTCCTTTTGCGCCAACACAGTAAAACACATGATGCACACTCCCAGTTATATAATGTCCACTCGTAACACTCACAGAGGAGTACCGACAACACAAATGTAGAGTGGCTGGCAAGACCACTGCATGCCGACTGCAAACAGAAAGATAGAACTGAACACAAAAATTGAGCTACGCAGGGAAAATCCCTAAAACAGTCATTCTGCAAAGCTCACAGTGCGACCTCTCCACCACCTGCCGTGTGACCGTGCATTAACATCACACAATATTTCTACCTATTCATACAGAGGTAGTGCTCTTATTGTCCTATTTACTCAGAGTTAAGGTTTGTTAAAGCTGCTTGCTGGTCAGGTGTCAGTGTCGGTATTTGAGGTGTGTCTGACCTGCAGCTGTCTGAGGACCTGATAGGCCAGCAGCTCCTGCCTCAGGTCGTCTCCACATTTCACGATGACCGAAAGCAACCTCCAGTTGGGCAGGTGACCGTATGGAGAGCCTTCTCTGATCCGCCTGGACACAAACACAGAAAGAGTTACCGCTGCTGCATGAGGATGCAGTTGACAAAGCTTTCTGTGCGTATCTTCTCCAACCCACCTGACTTTCTCCTCCCAGGGTTCTTTGAGGGCGACGGCCGATGGGTCCTCGGGGTCTCTTCTGAACGTGGTGGGAGTGTGGGCGAGGTTCTCCGACAGACGACGTCTAAAATGCCACCAATACAGAGACAGACATCAGAGCTGGATGCTAGTGATGGACGGATGAGTACAACTGAAGCTTCAGGGCTTTAAGCTGAACGTCTAGGGAGCCAGTAAGACTGCTTTAAGAGTTTCGTAGTCACAGTGGGCAAGAAAAGGCAAAAACAAAAAAAAGGGTTGCTCTTTAAGCCAGCGACGCTCTCCCTTGTATGGAGCTATTTAGTGTCTGGAATGGTAGACTCTTTTGCTGAGCTGAAGCTGCTTAAAAGGACATTTTTGCCTAGTTAGCTTCATTCAAAGCAGCTGCAACAAACAAAAATGTTAATTTGAAGTGTCAGTAGAAACTCATGGGGTTCCTCATGTTACAATTTGGGGTCCTTTACAGTTGCAATTTGGTTAAAGCTCCTTCAATTTTTTGTCCAGTTTTGTAAAACTAGCTGTAAGCAACATAATCCTTCATTTAAAGTGTCAACTAACAGTAATGGGATTCCTCTAGGTTCCATTCTTGGTCATTCACAGTTTAAATTTGGTAGAAGCTGCTGTAAATGATTGAATGTCTGAATAGTTGGTACCAACCACCTGGTATTGGGACATCTCTACTCTCAAAGCAACAACATCCTGGATTGAAAGTGTCAGTAAACAGGGGTGGGGTTCCCCCAAAGTTCTATTTTTGGCCCCTTATAAAGTTGTAATTAAGCGAAAATGGCTGTACTTTTATGCTTGTGGTAAATGGACTGCATTTACATAGTGCTTTTCTACCTTAGTGGCACTCAAAGCGCTTCACAATGTTTTCTCATTCACCCATTCACACACATTCATACACCAATGACGACAGAGCTGCCTTTGGGAGCATCTTAGGGTTCAGTGTCTTGCCAAGGAAACTTCGACTGTGGAGGGGCGAAGGATCGAACACCCTAACCTTCAAAGGACAACCGCTCTACCACCTGAGCCACAGCCGCATATGTGGAGTTCTTTTTAGTAAAAGTAGCTGTTAGCAACAACATCTATCTCTCTCTCTCTCTATATATATAGTATATAGTGTTTTACAAAGTTTTTATTGTTTGACAAAGTTCTTATATTTTTGTTTTTTTGCACTGAAAGGACTGCACCTTATGTTTCGTTGTACTTGTTACAATGACAATAAAACAAATCTGAATCTGAATAGCAATTGCTGGCAATAAAATCTTTTACTGAAGTGCTACGAAAGTTATATTTTTTGTCCAGTTGTTTTCAGCAGTAGTGTTCGTCTAGCATTCTTTTATCCAGAGGTTGTAAATATCTGCACCATGTGTGTCTTGAGGGTGTTTACCTGATGTCTCCGGCAGCGATGAACACTGGCTCTTTGCTCTCCAGACTTGTGATGCTATCGACTGAAAACTGGCTGATGTTGTCGCTGCTGCTGGTCTGAGCTTCCGCCTGCAACATACAAAAACTTTGTTTTTGTCCCTCAGGAGACACAGAATAGGCTGTGGGGGTTTACCGGGATGTAAACCAGCACAAATAAGGTTTATGTGAAAAAGTAAATACCTCCACCTGCAGCTGACCAATGTCGTCGGTCGCCCACGCCTCATCGTCATTGTCATAGTTTGGGACAGTGGAAAAACTTCCTGCTCTGTGCTCTGATGTCATGCTGCCACCGCTGTTAGCATTAGCTGCAGCACCACAGTCCAGGTTCTCTGCAGAGCGAGCTGAGCGGATCCTCGTCTCTGGGATCCGGATGGGAACAGGAGATGTCTCGAAGCTGTCACACTCCAATACCTCCACGTAGATGATGTAGGGAGCCTGGAGGAGGAGGGGAGGTTACAGTCTTAGTGTGAACAGTCACATCTGGTGTTTAGGGTGTTATTTACAGTTGTTCACAGGGCGATTCAGTCACCTTGTCCTTGGAGTTGAGGACCACGGCCTGGGTGTGGGGGACCCTGCAGACGTGGTGTTGGTGCTCAGCTGTGGGCAGCCACACTCTGGCCGGCAGCTTGTGATTGAGCAGCGACAGCTCAGAGATCAGCCGCTGGGTCTTTTGCTCTTTGGTGGGCAGCGTGGCCAAACGCTTCCCGATGCAGAGCAGCGACTTGACGAACTCCCTCTGAGGACGAAGACGCTCCGGCTGCAAACAGACAGGACGAAAAACACTTTCAGAGAGAGATTCAGAAGCCAAACAACAACACAAAGTCCCACATATACAAATGCAAATGTTGACACTGAATATCACACATAGGCTTTGAGGACTTTAAATTAAGACCTTTGATTTTAATCCCACAAAACAAGCAGACAATCATTTATTACGCCATGAATTTCAGTGCATCCCTGCTAGCCTACAAGGGTCAAAAGTAGAGGGTCCCTGTGCCAGAGCCCTGCATGAAGTGACTTGTTTGAAAGTCAGAGAGCTTAGTTACAAGAGTACAAAAGCAAACTATCCAAAAGAGATACTAAATCAACATAAGTAGCCCAAATACCAAAAAAAAAAAGACCACAAAAGAAACCCACAAAGATGCAAAATGATCAAAGAGACAAATGAGGACCACAAACAAATGCAAAACAGTCACAAACATGCAAAAAGACCACAAAGAGACAAGGGGAGGAGTGTTTGTCCTTGTCCTTGGGCTCATGGACACGCAATTGTTAATCGTTGCAGTTCTTATCTAGACACGTTTGCAGTTTTTTCCAACACACTTCACTTCTAACTGATGTTCTGTTTCCATCTACAGCAGCAAAAGGTGTTTAGGTATCACAGTATTTAATTGTATTTTGATTTCTGTTATTAACTACACTGTAATTTGTATGTTTTAAAATGTAGCTGAGTTCATAGTTCCTCTGTATGCAAACAAACACCAAGAAGGATGCAACGTAAACAAAACGCCAACCAAAACCAGGCTGTTTATGAGTGTTTGTTCATAAGCAAATGTTTAGCCTGTAATCAGTAAGTGTGTATGTAAACGAGTTACAAAGGTTCAGAGGACAGAAACCAGACTAAAGGCTCTGCCGGGTCAGACAAGGACAGACTGTCGTCATATGATCCAGCAGCTAGTTCAGCATCACGTGGGCTAAACCATCCTTCCCCCACCCAGAACCAGACCGGCTTCAGCCTCACCCCCGACACATGGAAACGTTTCAGTGGAAATCAAAGGCAGGAACGAGGGTTAAAGATATTTACATGACCCAGATTCTGCAGAGTAAACCCCTGAGAAGCTGCAGCTGAAGTCATCTGAAGATTGCACGGAGAGAAAGCAGCCAAAAGTACAGAAATGGAAAAACACGTGCAGGAAAATAGCCTGAAGGCAGTTTTACAATCAAATAATCTTTTGTTTAAATTATCATTTCGCAACAGAAAGAGCCAAATGTGTGCTGCTTCCAAGAAAACGAAGAGAGAAGTCATTTATATTACAATCATAAATAATTCAGATGGCGTCTGGTGCTCTCTCTCCCTCTCTCTGCTGCAGCAGTCCGACTGTAAACCAACACCTATTCCTCCTCTTCACTTCCTGTCCCCAACATCAGCTCTTCTCCTCGTCACCATGGCAACCCTCCCCATCCACCAGGACGACGAGGAGTCAGATATCCAGGTTTTTCTTTCGCCTCCTCGTCTCGTGTTTCTCTAAACTTCTCTCTTGCTGTAATAAGATATGATGCGTCCTCTTGACTTTTTGTGATGCAGGAACAATGACAGACGGAACTTCCCGTCTAACTTCATTGTTGTTACATGAACAATGAATTACACAAGAGGAAGCGATTCAAGGAAGAAGAGCTCTCACATGTACTGAATCTCATACTCAATGTGCATCATATCAGTGTTATGTACGTATTTTATTTTGGTAGAGTGCTAGTTTAAGGCTTCAATCATCAGTCGATCATGAAAATAATGTGGAAAATGTAGAACGTTTCGATTTTCTGACTGCCAATCAGCTGACACGCTACATGCTGGTGCTTTGGAAGTCTTGAAGAAGTTCAAGATGTCGTCGAAGCAGTTTTAGAGGTTTTTTGAAAACTTCTGCAGATTATTGTGGAAGAGGTGTCAGAGGGGCTTGGGTATTTTCGAGAGCTTCTTAAAATTATTGTGCAGGTGTTCAGAGGCCTTCATCATGTTCCAGAGATCCATAAAGAGGTTTTAGCGTCTCGTAATTATGTTAACAAATAAAAATAAAAAAGTCTGGAAGGAGGTTTCAGAAGTGTTTGAAGAGGTTGCAGAAGTCTAGAGGAAATTCTAGATGTGGTTGAAATGGTTTTAGAGGTCTTCTGATAAGTTCTGCAGATCATTGCAGAGGTTTCAGAAGTTCTGAAATTCTTGGATATTTTTCAGGGGTTCTTAAAAGGTGGCTCAGGTTGATGAGGATGGTCCTTAAAGATATTTCAGTTGGTCTTGAATACATTACAGAAGAATGTAAGGAGTTAACTAAGGACGTTTTTGAGCTCTTGAAGAAATTCCAGGTGTAAACTTTCCTGCTGTCTTTACTCCACACTGAGCTGACTTGCAAAGTTCAACAAGGGTGCATTTTAATGTCCTTGAAGTTTTATCTGCCTCAGACGTGGAGAAACTCAAGATACTTTTGAGCAGCAGCACATCGTTTTCTGATCCTGGTCTTATATTTTGTTCGCAAAATCTTTAATGGAAGTACAAAAGAAAGCCCAAAATGTAAATGTCGTTCCCACCACTGCACAGACGTCTGTACGCTTATCTATAATGTCTTTGTGGAGTTATGGTTTTTATCTCAGCTGTATATTCAGTTTTTATCAGCTCTGACCTTTCCCTTTTATTCTGCTGAGGAAACACTGGGATCAAAATCAAACACTGCAGCCTTTCTTTATCTGGGGGTCAGAAGTTCACTGGCAGAAATTAAGGAGATTTTTCTTTTTAAAGCTGAGGCTCTTTCGACTGTCAAAATATAAAGATAAGATCAGACATAAGCGGGAGGAGAAGAAAAACAGAGGAGAGGTTTACAGTTTACATCTGTCGAACTGTTTCTGTCTGTGCAGTCCAACCAAATGGGGCTCTCAGCCAATCAAACTGCACTCTGCGCCTGGCACTTGGCCAATGGAGTCTCTGTCTGCACGTGACTGAACTGCCAGCCAAGAATGCGACGACTGAGTGCAGCACAGAATTACACCAGCAACAGAAACAGCAACAACAGCAACAATAGAAATAACAGCAGCATAAGCAACAGAAACACAGAGACAACAGCAGCAACGGAAACACCAACAGCAAGAAGAGCACACACAACAAAAACAGTAGCGGAAGAAGCAGAAACAACAAAAACGGCAACAACGACAGAAAAAAAGCAAACAAAAACAACAGAAACAACAGCTACAGAAACAACAGTAACAACAATAAATGCAACAGCCGCAAGAGCAGCAGCAGCAGAAAGAAGAGCAACAACAGAAACGACAGCGACAAAAATGGCAAAACAACGGACACAACAACGATAAAATCAACTACAGCAAACCACAACAGTAGATAACACAACAAGTGCAGAAATAACAACAGCAGAAACCACAACAGCATAAATAGGAATAACAGCAACAATTAAATGAACAGTACTGACAGTTGGAAAATATCTGGAATGCAGATCAACTTCGCAAATTAAAACAGTGACAAAAATAAACGTAGCACCTGTTAAGAAAGATTAGAGCGTATCCAGATCACCGTTGTGACTACTAATAACAAATAATAAATGGGATTTATTTACAATATTATATTATATAATAATAATTGATAAGAAACATGGATCAAGCCCGCAACCACTGCTCAGTTAAATTTACAATATCACTAAATAATTGAAGGTGTGTGATCAGGTGAGTCAGGTAGACTGAAAACGGTCTGCAGCTGCTGTCTGTGTTGAAACAGGTGATGAGTGAAGCTGACTAACAAACAGGTTTATTCTGCTGCAGAAAATGACATAACAGTCAAAGAGGAGCAGCTCGGCATGACGGACGCAAAAAGGAGCCGGAAATACAATCAGTCGATCAACACAGGAGGCCTTGCATGTTGTGGATGTGATCAACGGACTTCATTTTTTAAATATTTTACAAATTAATCACTTACTTAACAAGGAAAAAAAACACAATTCAATAGGTAGCAAATATTTGAACTTAACAAGACATGAATTGACTTGTTTAGGTTTTGTCAAATATAATAAATTTTAAATATGTTTTGTTATCTGTTAAAATCTTTATCGCTAAAAATATATTGTTACTTTTAATGCTGGCATCAGTCTAAATAAATGCAGCGGTAGTGCTGAGATGTGTCATTTTAGACCAATGGGCTTTTAAAGACAGGTTCACTGGTTTTCTCAGTTTGATTCATTAGAAATGTGCTTAATTATTTGCAGTCGTAAAGCACACATTACCTTGCTTGTTTATAACTTTGTGCTACAGAGTGGAGCCAAAATTTTGTTTTATTTTAGTTCATTTTGTTGATTTTTTTAAAATTAGTTTTGTGGTAAACAAAGTCCTAGAAAAAAAGGTGTGAATAATTTTTCAGACAAGAATTAAAAACAAGACTGGAAGTCCATTATAAGACTTTATTTTTTCTTCTCGAAGAAGGTATTAAAAATATGTTTGTTTGTTTTTTTCCAGACAGGAATTCCAAAATAGCAATTCCAAAATTTGATCGTTTTTTGGCAGCATGCAAGCATATTATTTTTGAGCGCATTTGGTGGCCTTGTGTGTGAAGAGGTACCCGAGTCCAAATCTAGTTTTGATTTCGTTAACTTGTTAGTTTTGTGGAAAAGATCCACAAATAAAGTCGTGTTTATTCACATTTTATCTGGTTGATGGTGTAAATGGGAACTTATTGGCTGTGGGGTTCAGTGGGGGCCACAGCAGATTTTTACTCAAAGGCCTTTTAACAGGATGTGACAGTGAACATGACCCTCACCTCCTCATGAACCGCCTCCACTTTTGGGTTACTCCCTGTCCGTCGGAGGCCGGCGCCAGGCCCGCTGCTCACCATGGTGGCGTCTGACTTAGATCTCTGGTGGGTCCTCCTGGACGGGGACATGAACACCTCCGTCTCCCCCTGCGAAGGGCTGTCCGGGGTGGGGCCAGCCATGGACGAGGCCTCCACATTGCTGCTGTTGTGCCTGCGGTGACCGCGGCGGTGGGATGGCGAGGACAGCGGGCTCTCGGAGACCGAAACAGATCGTGGAGCATCGGACGGAGGAGCAGGAGGTTTGAGTTCATCGGACAGGATGAGCTTTCGGAGTTTGGTGCCTCTGGAGTGACGCTGGGTGGAGATGTGCATGTCGGAGGAGTAGGCGCCCAACAGCCAGGCCGTCAGCAGAGAGAAGGTGATACTGCCTCTGCAGCGGTGGATCTGTGGTGGAGATCAATAACAACAGTGTCAGCGTTAGCTTCTGAACCCACTGCAACCTTCAAAGTCCTCCCAGCAGTCTCTAATCCAGAGTTGTTTAGTTTGGTCTCAAATATACAACCATATTTTTTCTTAGGGTGTGAAACATAAGGGGCTTTTTTTTCAGGCAAGAATTCCAAAATAGGACAAGAGGTTATATAAGACTAGATCCTTTTGTAATATTTGTATTAATGTTTGCATCACTCAAAAAAAATTAAAAAATACAAGTTCTGCATTCACTGATTTGAGGTGATTGACTATTTAGAAACATGCTCAATTATTTGCACTAAGCACATTATTTTGCATGATTAGAACACTATGTGGCACCAGATCAGAGTCAAAGTCTTGTTTTATTCATGAATGTTTTGTGGAGAAAGGAGCTCGAGAAAAGAGGTGTGAAAATCTGGGGGTTTTGGATCTAAGAATTACAAAAAAAAAAAAGACTCAACGTCAAATATAAGATTTTTTTATAAGATTTTTTTTCTTTCTGGAAAAAGGTATTAAAATAAGTTTTTTTAAGGCAGAATTTTCAAAATAATACTAGAGCTCAAACATAATACTATGTGTATGTATATTCTAAAAAGATGCAAAAAGATTGGAGGGGTTTCAGGTGGTAATTTCCAAAACAAAACGAAGTGTTTTAATGTTCATACTGTTGTAGTGATGAAACATGTCGGTCTAGTCCCAGGGACCCTGCACCCTGTTATGGAAAGTTAGGGGGTTTTGTCTTCAGGTGGGGATTTCAAAACAAAACTAGAGGTCAAATATAAGATTTCTGTTTACATGTTCTGAAAAAATTAGGGGAAGTCTTATATTTGAGGATGAGACAAAAATATGTTCACAGCTGATACAGTGTTTAAACGTAACAGAGACGGTTGCAACAGAGGTTTGTTGTTTGTTTCAGAGTCAGAAGTATGAACTCTGAGTGTTTGCTCGTCCAGTTTAATCTGCAGGAGTTTCTGAAGGTTCCTGTAACAGGTTTTAAATAAATTAATAACAAGTGAAAGCTCAGAGAGTCTCCTGGTGTCTTTACTGCAGGAATGAAAGAAAGTGTCTCAACAGGATGACAGTTAAAGTGTCTTTTTTTTTTAAACAGGCAAAGCAAAAAGGGGGTTGTCTTATTGTCAGGGTAGTCCTATATTCAGGTCAGCCCTGTAAACTCAAACCACGCGTGCGAGGCTCACCAGGTAGGGTCTGATGGCGTCTCCCACCTCGGTGTCCATGTGCACATACATATTGAGCAGCTGGGGCAGGTAGAAATCCACCTCGCTGTCGGGGAAGCTGAAGAGGCGGTTGCCAATGTACGCCTGCACCCCTGGCTCCTTTGACTTGTACAGGTAGGAGATCGCCATGGAAACATCGAACAGCTTGGACTCAAACAGGCGAAGCAGCCACGACTGTTTGGACGACGAAGGCGAGGAAGACTCCGGCCGAGGCGTAGGACGTGCTGGGTCCTGCTGGGATGAACTGCCTTCTCTTTGTCCTTCCTCCGCGTCCTCGTCTTCTTCCTTGATGGAGCTGGTGTCAGGGTTGATGTGCCACTGTGGACTGCAGCGCTCTGTGACGTCTGCGTACTGTTGTTGCTGTTGTTTATCATCCTGTTGTTGTTTGTTGTCGAGCAGCTTGACTTTGAGGAGCACTTCCTGGCAAGCCTTCAGGGCTACCTCGGGGTCGATCACTGGAAGCAGAAAACAAAGAAGTCAGAGAAAGTAGAAGTCTATAAAATATGTAAGAACAGTTTATGGGTGTTTTTGCTTCCGTCACATTTTTCCTCCCTGTTGGCTCACTTTTCACTGCAATATAAAGTCCCGCACCTCTATGGAAGCAGCACAACCATGACTAGAAGTAGAGAGAAATTCAAAAATGCCATCTGTGCAGTATGAGCAGTTATAATGGCACAAATCCTAAACAAGAAGGAAAATCGTTGATTACTTATTCTACAAAAAATGTAAAAAAAATAAAAATAAAAAAAAAAAAAAGAAGAAGAAATGGAATCAACGTACAAAAATTTTCCAAGTGAACACAGGTGCTACCACTCCTGGAAAAAAATGGGGGCTTCACATGTGCTACATGTTTTACTATTTCCATTTTTGCATCCTCTGCACTCTTCACACTGCTCTGCACATTAACTCCAGAAAGATATTTCACCACGTTGAATGTATCTTGCAGCAACTTGCTAACAACTTGCTCCTCTGTTTACCTATTTAATAAGCAATTAATTTAGAGAGTTTTTTTTCCCAAATGAGACATAGAATTAGGTAAGTTTGATGAAACATCGTGACTTTAAGCTTAGATTTGGTTGCTTTCACTGATAGAACCGCATGTTAAAGATGATACAATGAGAACCGTTGGAAAGTTGAACATGTGATGGTTTTTTTTGGGGGGGTTTTAAAGTTTTTTTTGGCTGATAATTTTGTGTAATTTTAGCATTTATTTTAAATAGAATTGCCCGTTAAACCGCTGCAAGGTGGCACAGTTGGTTAGCACTGTTGCCTCGCAGCTAGTTTGCATGTTGTCCCCGTGCAGCGTGGGTTCTCTCCGGGTTCTCCGGCTTCCTCCCACACAGTCCAAAAACATGTTGAGGTTAATTGGTGATTCTAAATTGTCCGTAGGTGTGAATGTGAGTGTGCTTGGTTGTCTGTCTCTAAGTGCAGCCTTGTGATAGACTGGTGACCTGTCCATGGTGTCCCCTGCCTTCGCCCTACGTCGGCTGGGATAGGCTCCAGCCCCCCTCCCATGACCCTAGTGAGGATTAAGCGGTGTATAGATAATGGATGGATGGATGCCCGTTAAACCCATCAATGTGTTTTGGTGTTCAGAGGGTTAAAGGCCTGGAGGCTGCACCTGAATCAGGTTGCGTGTCCAGCCAATGAGGCAGCCGGTAAAGGCTTCAGAGTCACATGGCAGGTCAAAACTACTGAACTAGTTTTACAAGTGTCTCTAGCATTACAGAAGCTAAACTCGTACCAACACGACACAGCTCACCTCTGCAGCACCAGATCTGGTACCAAATTCCTGCGCTGGAATTAAGTGGATCTTCTGGGAAACTGTAGAAGTAAGTTTAGATATTTTCATGGTTTGTTTGGTGATGGAAATTTATTGGGATAGCATTCTTCCAATTAAATTTTTTTGTTCTTTTTTTCGTGAAATGAACAAAAAATGTGCTAGTTTGGTTGTTATGCAGCCACCTGTCTCTTCCACTAGTGACCGATCTGTGGTTTTGAGCATTGTCCACCCACAACAACATGTGATTGGTTACACTTCATGAGTAACAGCTAATCAACAGTGAAAGACACAAGTTGAAAAGTTCTTTTTTAATTACATATGTAGAACATAAATAAATGAAGCAATTTCAATTAGGTACTGTGTTGAAGTTTGTGTGAATCTGAATTTTGACACTAGCGTTTTTATTTTTATTCTGAATACCAATCAGTTCCGGTTGTCGGACTCCTTGATTGCTCATAATCAGCGCTTTACTTGTAACGTCCTTCTTACCTTGGTCAACCCCCAGGTCCATCTCCATGGCGTCCTCTGAGATGACGTCCAGCGGTGGACTGGGTCCTCGCGGGTCGCCACCGCTCGACATGCCACTGCTGCCGATGCCCTCGCTGGCGCTGCTGCTGCCGAGGCTGCCGGTGCTGCCGATGCTCCCGCTGGGGCTGGAGCTGCGGGGGCTGGCGCTGGGGGAGGACGGCTGCTCGCTGTGGGAGGGCGGGGGCAGCTGCAGCTGAGGGCGGGGGTGGTGGTGATGGTGGTGGTGATGATGATGATGGTGGTGGTGAGCGGGGCAGTCTGAGGAGCTCTCAGAGCAGGAGGAGGAGGACGAAGATGAGGAAGAAGAGGAGGCACTGGAAGGAGAGGAGGGGCAGGAGAAGGTGGTGGGGGAGGAGGAGGATGCCGGGGGAGGGGGCTGGGCGGAGTGGGAGGGGCTCAGGTGGAGCGGCCGCAGAGCCGGGGACAAGGACACCTCAGCGTCCGCCATGTTGGACAAGCAGGCCTAAAGAGAGACAAATACAGAAGATAAGAAACATTCTGGCATTTTGATAAGAAGCAAAGGTTGCACAGCTATTACATGAGACAGGTGCACAGGAGATAAGATAAGATAAGATAAGATAAGATAAGATAAGATAAGATAAGATATGCCTTTATTTATCTCACAGTGGAGAAATTCACATCGTTGATAGCAGCATTCAACAGAGGTACACATATACGAGACAGGAAAAAAATAAAAAGTAAAAAAAAAATTAACAAATGTACATATAAATATAAGAAATAGTGCAAACAAGGAGAGTAGTAGAGGATGTGCATATCCAAAAGATTCAAACCCAAGCACGCTGTCTGATATGCAAAGATACATTTATTAGCACAACAGATCAGTACAAGACCTTCATCAGTCAAATAATTTGGTACAAAGAAATAAGCCATCTTAAATAGGGAGCGGTTCTGACTCCCCTACGAATGAACACACTCCTCATACCCTAGGGAGGTATTAAACATCAATAAACTATTTTCAATGCCAAATGGAACATGAGAATCATAAATATTACCACTAAATATTTACTAGGTTAAAATCCTAGGACATAAATGCTTAAAGTCTGGTGCATTCTCAAAAGAACGTTGCATTATACGTAAAAAGAACCTGCAACTTACAGAAATAACCTCAAAATATTTCAATCCTTTAACTACACCTGAAAGGATCAACAAAAAGCACATTATCCATTTTATCAGGCAGAAATTATAAAAACAGAGGCAACTGTCTGATTTTCAACTTCTCAACATTTCTTGACCCACTCGGATGCTGTTATGTCAGGAAACTTCACCAAATCTAGTCTTAAAATCATGATATCCCATCAAAATTGCATGTCTGTATGTGCACAAAACGATATCAGCATTATATTATATAATAGATATCCATCTCTCTGAATATTTGCACCAGCAACTGACATTCGTTTGACCACAAACTCTCAGAAAGACGGAAAAGCTGCAACAACGTCTGTCAAAAACCCCAAAACCTCATGAGACCAGATTCAATACATTTTCTCTGACTGTTGTCTGTGTTGAGTCTCAGTCATCTGGGTCATTCTCAGAGCTTCTGTAAAAAGCAACTGCACCCCTAAGATGAGAGGTGAAACATCTTCAAGAATCTAAGAAAAGTCTGGCTGCGTTTTACTGAAGCTTCTGGGACTCAAGTTTGTTCCTTTACCAGAAAGGAGCGGCTCTGCTTATCTTCAGCATAGCATTTCCTTTAAGATGACATCTCTCATTTCAGACGTCTTTGTTCTTTTATGATGTAATTTATTACCAGCTTAAAATCATATCTGAGAAATTTTACAGTTTCCTTCGTGTCCTGTCATAAAGTCTGCTGTCACTTCTCTTTCATGTTTTTATTGGTTTATAAATTTTAGCTATTTTATATCTGAATCACCTTCACTGTTGGAAAACCTCCCTAAAGATGTATCGAGCAATGAAAAGAGAAAACCGTCACAAATAACCTGTAGATTAATGAATAACACAATCACACAATAAGAGTCATGTTTGCCAATCTTAACACGTGAATACTAGCGTGGGTAAACATCAGGAAGCTCTGTGATTGGCAACGTCTGATTTAATCTACTTCCTGTTCAGCTGAGATGACAGGTTGGTGTGCAGGCGGGAGAACGTTACATAACACACATACACACACACACATACACACACGCGCACATACACGACACGGAGCGGCTCATACAGAGCGTCTGTACACGCCTGTATGTGCATTAACTAATTCCAGAATGCTTGAGGATGAACAGTGTGTGTGCAGCCGATGGTTGTTTTCAGGACTGATTCATCTCCAGATTGTTTTCTCACTTGGTTTCATCTATTAAACATCCCAAACCCTGTGTCTTATTTTGAAATCCTGCGAGGCAGCCGCCGACACAGCGAGGAGGTCTGACAGGAAGTCATCCCTGTTGTGTTTGTGTCGGCGTGTCATCGGTGTGACGCAGATGATGAGCATCATCATCACCACCACCACCACCATCATCATCATCATCATCATCCCAGTGAGCGTGTGCAGTCTGAGGAGGCGTACTGCTTCTATTTTCTTTTCCACCAGCTTCACGTTTCCTCTCCTTGTTCTCACATCATCGACCTGCTGACACTCACCTCTGTTCTGTTACCATGACGATGCTTTCATAAAGGTTTCGTTTCCAGCACGATGCTTTCTACCTAAAGGTTCTGTTTCTGCGCTAACGTTTGTTGAAAAGGTTTGTTTCCATGATGATGTTTATTTAAAAAAAAAAGGGGGGGGTCCTGTTTTCGTGAAGATGCTTTTTATCAAGAGGTTCTGCTTTTCTGTTTTTAATGCAAGTTTCTTTTTCCATAAAAATGCATTTTACAAAGCCTTTGTCTCTGCGACGCTGCTTTAAATAAAAAGGCTCCATTTCCACAATGATGTTTGTCAGAAACATCTTTGTTTTTTTGGGGAGGTTCAGTCATCATTACGCTTTTTATGGGAGGTACTGTTTCCATGATGATGCTTTTGCAGGATGGTTTTGTTTTCATGATGATGCTTTCAATAAAAGGTCCAGTTTCCGTGACACTGCCTTTCATGAAAAGTTGTACTTCCACGACGATCATTATAAAAAGGCCTTTCTAGGACCATGCGTTTTATCAAAGTTTCTGTTTCTGTAATTATTTTCATTAAAAGGTTCCGTTTACATGACGAGATATTTTACTAAAAAAGATTCTGTTTCTGTGACGATACCCCTACACTGACCTGCTGCGTCGTCACTCATCTGCAACTCCAAACAAACAAAACGACTTGTCATTTTGTTCTGTTGCATGAAATTCATCTTGATGCCATAAGTCCCGCTGCAGGTCTCTGACTGAAGATTTAAGATTTAGAAAAATCTGACAACTGATTTCTTACACGAAACAACAACTACATGCAACTCTGAGGACGGGTTTTAAGAAGACGAGGCAGTTTCTATGTTTTGCACTTAAATTGCCGAAAAACTGACAATCCTAAACGCATCATCGGCAGACCTTCATTTGATGCAGCTCTTCGTACACGGCGCCAAAAACTTCTCAGCTGCTTCAGCTAAAAATCTGCCAACGACCACAACTATTGGAGATTTTTTACGAGGACCAAAACCCCCCTGATTACATCATCATGGTGACATCATTATCAGGGCCATGTCAAGAGGAGACGCTGATCACACACAGCTGAGCATGATGTCATCTCACTGCGGAGATAGAGAGAGAGAGAGTGTGTGTGTGTGTGTTTGTGTGTGATGGTTTCCAGATGTGGAGACACACACACACTCACACACACACTCACACACACATACGGTCATTGCTATGGCGACGGTGTTTACAGAGGGAGTGTGTGCTGTCATGTTTCTATCAGTGCAGCTTTGCCACAAATTAAAAACGTGCAGCTGTTTCTGCTTGGCTCTGTGATTTCCGACGCTGAACTGAGTCCCTGAGATTCAAATCTGCTGCTTGAACAAACAACTGACGTCTGAACCGTGGAGAATCGTCGCTGCGACTTTTCACTGTTATCTGCTGCTTTTACTGAGTCAACAATTCATTGATCAATCAATTACACTTCTGGTTCTGTGACAAAACTGCAGCGAAAACCTGAAACTGTTGTAGTTCTCCACAATAAGTGAGTCCAAATGGCAGAAAGTTGCAGTGGAAACAGAAATAGTTTACGGTTACTACTTAGCTGGCGTTCTGTGGTTGGTTTTTCACTGCTGGTCCATCAGGAAGATACTTTTAACGTGGATAGAGGTGTTTGCAGAAACTGGAGCTGCAGTGCTTAATCAATTATTTGTCAACTTTTACATTAATCTCCAGCTTTTTTGATAATCAGCGTAATTTTTCAAGGAAAAAAAGTCTAAATTCTGTGGTTGCAGCATCCTAAATGTGAGTATTTTCTGGTTTCTTTCATCCTCCATGACAGTAAAATATCTAGAATATCTTTGGGTTGTGGACAAAATAAGACACTTGTCATCTTGAGCTACAATTAATCAATTAAACAAGAAAATAATCGCCAGCAGATGTGATTGTTAATTGCAGCCCGACTAAAAGCAAGCTGAGACACCTCTTGTAGAAGCAGGTTGATTTTGAAAAAAAAAACATGTTTTTAAAAAAGTATTTGGCTTCTAACTGCATTTATGTGACTGTCCTGCAGAGTTTTGACACAGTTTTAATATATGAAAACATGATAATGACTTTAATTCATCACAAAAAAAAGAGTAAAAAACTGAATTAAAAACTGCATTTGAAAACAAAATACTGGACATCAAAACGCAAACCCTACAGCAGAGGAGTGAACTAACTACTGTCTTATTAAAGTGTCATCAAAAGGGCTCCTGATTAGTGAAATCTTATTTAACATCTCCCACACGTATCAGATTGTGGCTGTTGTCGTGGGAAAGCTTCTCAATAACACCTGAATAAACCTTATCAGAATATTTTCCACCGTTGGAGCAGAAACATACATGAAGCAGAAAAAGCATTCATGGAAGATGGTTTTCACAGACGGGCATTAAACGCAGCGTCCCCCTCTGTGATGGAGGTGGTTTGACGTGTGGCGATTCAGGACCAAGTGTGAAGTTTATCAGGTCAACATCACAGCTGAGCGACCACAGATTCAGTCCACAAACTTTACAGCACAAACAACAAGCTCGCAACAACAGGAAAGTGTCGGCCGAGAGGTCTCTCCCTCGATGTTCAAAGCAAAAAAACTGAAACATCAAGTTCATTATTCTGCAGGAAAGTAACAGCTCATCGACTATGCAGTTGCTCATTATCAAGAATCTTTAATGAAGCCAACATTTCTCCTTATTTTCGGTGATAATCTGTGCGTTCAATTTTTGGTTGTTTAACTTCTTTTTCACCATCACATTTAGGTTGTTTTAGTCTTTGTGGTGATTTGGGGTTACATTTGAATTATTTTACATGTTTTTTGTGGTGAGTTTGGGTTACATTCAGTTTATTTAGCGTCTTCTGTGGCTGGTTGCTTTTTAATCATGTTCGTTCTTCGTCTCTGTGGTAATCTAGCTTCGCATTTTGGTTGGCTTTACATCTTACATTTTTATTATTTTACATGTTTTAGGGTTTGGTTTGCGTCATTTTATATGTTCCTTTCGCTTTCAGGTCTTCGTCGTTGTTTAGCTTCACATATAGGTTGTTTATTTGTAGTAATTCTGAGTTAAATTTGATTATTTTACTTTTTTTTTGTAAGTTGGGGTCACATTTTAATTTTAAAAAAACCTTTCCGAGGCTGTTTGCTTTTAATTTTGGTTGTTTAACTTCATTTTGTGGCAGTTTAGCGTCACATATAGGTTATTTTAAATATGTTAGTATGGGTTACATTTAGATTTTTTTCCCCCACATCTTTCTTTGGCTATTTGCTTGTAATCTCATTGGTTTTACACTTTCATTGTTTAGCTTTGGTTATTTCATATCTGTTGGGGATAACTGTCGCTTACAGTTTCATTACCTTACATGTTTTTGTGGTTAGTTTGCATCACATCCTGGTCGTTTTACATCCCTCTGTGGCTGTTTGCTTTTAATGCTGTCAGTTTAACATCTTTGTGGTCATTTTTGTGTCACATTTCAGTCATTCGATGGCTTTTTTTTCTGGGTATTTGCATTTAATACTGGTCGTCTCACGCCTTTATGATCATTTTACATCATTTGGATGAGATAGCTATAGGTATTACATTATAGATAACCTGCAGGGCTATCACACAGGTTAGAATTAGTGATCATAGCTCACTGAAGAGATATTGTGCAGCTTTTATAGATATACTGAAGAGATGCTGTACAGATTAAGTTGTGCCATTGAAGAGATACAGCAGAGATCTTGGATAGATTATATAAACAACGCGAGAAGATATTTCAGGGTATTATATTGGAAAAATACTGCAGTTATTACAGAGGCTAGCATTAGAGTTGTGGAGCTGTTGTAGTGGCCATGTAGCTCTCTGTACAGACGCTACAGATGCCAGCAGCAGCAGGAGGAAGAGGAGGAGGAGGAGAGCCGCTCCCTCCTGATGAAAACAAACCGGAGGAAGGAGGAGGAGAGCCGGGCTGCAACAGGCCCACGGCCCGGGGATTTAACACCGGATTCCCCCCCTCCCCGAACACCACAAACGGCCGTCGGCTAACGGCTAACAAGCTAGCTCCATCGAGCAAACACAAACGAAACGAATCAGAAAAACGGAACGAAGGAAAACCGACGAAGCAGAAGCAGCGGACCTACCCGGGTACCGACGCGTCTTCACTCCGGTGGAAAAGCTCCCGCACTCGGGAATTAGTCCGGTTTTCGTCCCGGGAGCGGCCAGGTCCGGTCCACGTCTTTAATCCGGGTCTCGGAGCGGGCTTTCAGGCTCGGAGACGATCCATCTACTCCGGGTTTGTGGTTCGGCTGGGCTCGGCTCGACGGTGCCTGCTTTAAAGCAGCAGTGACGCAACATCCGTCAAGGGCCGCAGTTTGAAACGTCCACGACTTCCGGAAGGAGTGTACATAATAAAAGCACACATTAAACGGAAATGACTAATTTTCTGCAAAAAAAAAACAAAAAAACGCTGCAGTTGATGGAAAGTACCAAAATACCCATAGAGCTTGATGGAACTACTATCTTTATTTACCACGTTAAAAGTCGAATAGTAGCTTCACACTAAATCCAGTTTTCAAAGTCAATAACCAACACTTGCAGCCACTTTATTTAAGTATCTGTTCTTGTTGGTCCTGTAACTTCTATTTTATGTTGAAAAGCTGACATCTGATCACTTTATTAGACTTTTTTGTTTTAAATTAGATCTTAGATATATTTAGATTTTCTTGGAATATTAAAGTTCTGTTTGTCCTCTGGTATCCTCTTTACGTTTTTCTGCTTTAACAAAACACTTCAATGATTTAATTTCAACCCCATTTACGTTGTTTTGTACGTTTTGTGCTCCGTTTCTTTTGTTTTGGTGGCTTCACGTCTGTTTTTGGTCATTACAATACATTTTTGTTGTTTTACATCCTTTTGTAGTAGTTTTGTGTCACATTTTGATTGTTTTACATCCTTGCAGTGTTGCCTTTAAATGTGGTTGTTTTGTGTCTGTTTCTGGTCATTTACATATCGTGTAGGTGGATTTAGCATTTTCAGACAGCTCTTTTGCATCACATTTTCATTGCTTTATAACATTTTGGGGTCATATGTGTTTAGTTTTGGTTGTTTTACACATTGCTGTGGTGATTTTGCATCACACTTTGATTCATGTATAACGTATGCACTTTCTTTTTGTCATTTTACATCTTTATGTGGTATTTTTGTGTCACATTTCATCTTCAGTGGTCATTTAACATCACAATGTAACTGTTTTTAAGAAAATTTGTGCTTGTTGGCAATAACTTTTTTTGTTTTGTTTTTCTTTTGGTTATTGCCTGTCATTTTGCATCTTTATGGTTGTTTTACTTCTTTTCGTGGTCATTTGCTATCACATTTTAAATGTTTTACAGCATTTTGTGACACATCTTGGTTGCTTTACTTCTTTTTTTGTGTTAAGTTCCATTTAATTTTATTCACTTGGCAGAAAACAACACAATGAATCTGAAAACATTTATACAGAAATTTAAATCCAGGCTGAAAAGCATGTATGGCTTCTGTTGTGTTTAGGATTGTTTCCCGTTCTTTACTTTAATGAAGAAAACGATCATCTGAATAAATAACACTGTTTATCGTACACAGGTGGGTGCAGTCAGTTGGGGAAATGATACCCTCCATATCAGTGGGAGTGGATTTGTTTAAAGTCTTGAAGCTTTCATTTTGAAGTGCGAACGGCATCGTGTCCACTGTGTCTGTTTGTTGCATTGACAGAGCAGCTGGTTTTGGTTCTGTTTCCGTTTGGACCAAAATATTCCTGCTGTCCTCCCACTCAGCTCTTCATCAGCCAAACCTTCAGTAAACACGCTAGGCAACTTAATATGTGTCTTTATATACACAATTACAGCTGATTTTTTTTTTTTGTCATATCAAACATATAAAACAGCTTCTTGTCAAAACTGCAGGATGGTCTTTAACCCCTTATTTCTGCAAATGTATAAAACAGATACTTATATATATTATATATAAAATGTAACCTCTAAATCTGATCTTGTAATTTGTTATATTTGTTCATTTCAAACTGTTGTATATGAATCTTTAACCAGTTTTTGTGTGACTTGAGCCGGAATAACAACATGAAACATTTTGGAGCTTTTAAAGCCACTGGTTTCTCTGCTTCAACACCAGAGCAAAGCGCCGCCAGGTGGCTGACAGGAAGAGCAACACAGGAAGGACGGAAAAGAAATTAAACAAAGGAGGGAAAGGGAAATATTAAATCAAGAGGAAGTACAATTAGAAAAGGCGAAAGAAAAAGGAAAGAAATTACAAAAAAATATCAAAGTGGAGGGTAAACGGAAACAGGGACAGTGAGATCCAAAAGTTTAAGAGAACACAAAAAAAATCTGTGATATTTTCCCGCGAACCTGGAAATAAGCAGAAACATTTAGAAGCACAAGTTCTGACCTGCAGACTGAAGGAGAAATACTTCAAACTGATCAGGTCAGTGTCAGCGACCACGTTAACTCCTTTGTACAAAAGCTTTTATTTTCTCGTGTTGTGCCCTTCCGCTGACACTCAGGTGAATTTAATCACCTCCTCAGAGACTTGTTCAGCTAAATCAACCTGCAGTGAGAAACACCTGACATCTGGTTATCCATCCAGAGCACAAAGTGAGCACAGTATCAGAAGATCAGCACATCAAGCTTCTCTCTGAAAAGTAGCTTTAATACAAATACAGAACTTACTAAATAAAAACAAAATTCCAATCAGCAAAAGTGGTGCAACATTTTGTTTTTGTGTACATTTTACATCTTTGTGGTCACTTTGTATCATACTTTGGTGATTTAATCCCTTTGTCAAGGTGTTTGCATTTGATTTTTGGATGTTTTGTGTGTTTTTTTTCATGTTTGTGATCATTCTGCATTGCATTGTGCAACATTTACATCTTTTTGTAGTCGTTTTGCAGTTAATTTGGATCGTTTTATCTATTTCCATGGTCATTTGCTTTTAATTTTACATATTTTTGTGGTCATTTTGTGTTACATTTTGGTTGTTTCATTTCTTTCGGTGGTTGGTTTGCATCACATTTTGGTCAATTTATATGTTTTCGGTGGTTGCATTTAATTCCGGTCATTTTATTTTTTTTGTGGTTGTTTTGTGTTCTTGTTTCACATTTTTGTTGTTTCACATTCTTTTGTGTTTGGTTTGCATCACATTTTTATTTATTTTTTCTATCTTTCTATCAGTAGATGGTTTACATCACATGTGGGTCCTTTTTTAGTTGTCATTTGCAAATAATTTTGGTCATTTTATGTCTTTTTGTGCTTGCTTGCATTTAGTTTTGGTCATTTAACATGTGTTTGAAGTCACCTTGGGTTACATTTTGGTCATTTTATATGTTTTTCTGGATATTTTGTGCCGCATTATGGTTTTTTCGTACCTTTATGTAGCTGTTTTTTGTCATGTCGTAGCTGGACTGACGGTTTCTCAGGTGGCATTGCATGGTTTCTAAGACATTTACAGACATTTTTCATTGATTTAACTTGTTAAGCTGATAAGAATCCCTTGGAACAAAGCAGTTTGAATTTAATTTAAAATAAGTGCCAAACGCAAGAACCTTTGGTGGTGTTCTTAGACCTTTGGTATCTTGTGTATCTGAAAAATACAAATGAAAAGTGGAAATAAAGAAAGAAAGAAACGAGGCATTTGAACGAGTGAACGTCACGTCTTTTATTCCGTCAATGTAGGAAAATAGATTCACATTAATGTTCTGGCTTCTGTCCTCCGTCACTCTTCTGTTTCTCTTCACAACAAACAAACAAAACTAAGAGGGCAAAGTAAAGGTGCATTTCACTGATTATTGTCATTTTCAAACCAAACCAGGGAGGGTTCATGTTTCTACCTCCCACCTTTGCAATTTTTTTTTAGCGTAAAGTGCAAAAGAAAATAAACACAAAGCCAGCAGGTCACAGGTAAACAAAAACAAACGTTTAGAGGTGAGAATATAGAAAACCAGACAAACAGCCACAGGGGGGAACCATGCAGGAAGCCGGCAGCGCCTTCCACAAAGAAAAGAGAGTTGAAAACATCGTCATAGCAACAGGAAGAAGAAGAAAATCTGCACATCAACATCTGTACAACTGTCTGAAACAGCAAAGACACACAGCGACAACAGAAACAAACACTAAGGGAACAGCAAACGGCAGCAAGAAGCTTCCAATGCTGCTGTTCGCTGCCACAGTCCCATTCAGGCTGACGGATCCTGAGCCTGCAAGGCTAAACTCAGGGCAAAAACCAAAACACAATTCTCCACATAAATCAACGTTTTTAAGGATTTGTTTAGGTGAGAAAACCCCGAGTGGGTTTGCGGCAGCGAACAGAGCTACGTTCACTTCACACCTCCATCACATCAACCGCAGGGTGGACCAGGATCAGCTCCTCCCAAACCAACGTCTCGTCATCTCGTCACCATCGTCCAATCACCTTCAGACGCTCAGCGGACAACGTCACAATTTAACACGTTTACAGTTAAGTGCTCAGTTGTTTTTCTTAAAAAATTTTTTTTTTTTGATACTTAGTGACAATAAATCAAGAATTCCCTAACATTTTCATAACTCTATAAACACATACTGACCTAAAACATCTTAGCTCTTCATCAGTTTAGCTGTTCCTTTCACCACCAACCGTTGGATTTTTACCAAACTAGTTTGATTTATGTGCCATTTTTACAGAACTATCCCAACTGTTAATCCATTACTTGCCCATATGTCTGATTTAAGTGCTGGACCCAGCCTAGGCGACGTTTTATTCACCTGTATGTGAGAAATTCACTTGAAATTATGTTTGTAAAGTGCCTAAAGTGTTACATTTGGTCCTATTTTCTTTAATGTTTTATATTTTTCCGAGAAGATTTTGGAGCTGCCATTACAGTGGAAGAGGAACTGATAGTTTCAAAGTAATGCTTTGATATTAACAAGTTATCCCTGAACTCAGGAACAACAATAATACTTAAAATTCTGATCAATGACACTGAAACAGAAAGAGTGTATGAAGTAAACTGGATCTTTATTCACCAAATACTACCAGATATTTACTCAGTTATTATCCAGACATATCCAGGATATTGCTACTAGATTATTCGTCGCCTCTTTCAAATAACTTATTTCAGTCAACATTAATATTTTTTCTAATAATGTTTTGAATCTATCGACATTTGCTTTATTTTTAGTGGTTCTTGTTTTCTCCATAAATGTAGATTCTAATTATTTTAACTTGGGTTTAACTGCTTTTAGTTTTGTTTTGATTGTTTTTAACTACGTACTGCTGTCGTTTAGTTCAATCTGTACTTTCAGCATGCACTCAGTGATCTCTCATGGTTTAAATAAAGGTTGAATGAAAGAACGAGTTACATATTTATACATCAAATAAAGTTTTTGATGATATTTCCCTTGTTGGGATAACTAGATAACTAGAAGCTGAGGGGCCTTTTAAGAGGAATAAAAACAGTTTCATTGAAAATTTTCATTACAAAAATCTTGGACGAGTTCAAGCTGTTTGAATAGAAAGGTGAATGAACGACATTCAAAGCTGCTGTGCATCATTTAAACTCCAATAAATAATTCTTAAAAGACATTTTTCAGTCATTCTAACGACTAATTCAGAAGTTGAAGTTAAAAATGATGCGTGCAGCACCTTCAAACAGATCCAGGACAGGATGTGACATCAGAGAACGTTGTGTTGTTGAGTCTGATCCTTCAGCGTCCACTCACTGCTACCCGAATCACGATCCTTTATCTTTGATTATCTAACCCGTTTCTGGTTTGTTTGTTTGAGCACCTTGGCTCCACAGTGAAAGATTCCCACAAACACCTCCACCCTCAATCCCGAGTTTAAAATGCAGGGCTGAACTGGACCAAACTGGACCAAACTGAGCCAAACTGGAAGGTTTCCTGCCTTCACTGTCTTGTTATAAATCATGTCTCTGAATCCTTTTAGGTTTTGACTTTCATGGTTGAACCGGTTCTGCACAAAACTCTACATGTTCGGTTCTACTAGTCGGCCGAAACTGGGCCTTCATCCATATCCGACTTCCCATAGACCACTCTTGGCTCGTGACTTTCAGAGAGCTGCTGATTGTTCAGGCTTCTTCCAAGTGTCAAACAACTGAAAATTCATGTCCAGTTGTTCCGGTTTGGGGATGAACTGAGCCAAACTAAAGTTTCTGGCAATGACTCTCCACGTTTATTCGCCCCGTTAGACCAGTTCAGAGTCAAACTGGGGTCCAGTCTCCATCAATGACTTGCTCTGAACAACTTCTCAAACATGACTGTAAAAACAATCCTGAACTTGCAGATATTAACAGTTTCTGAACTGGATTCAACACATCCAGTTAGCTGGTGCGGTTCCATCTATGTGCCTTCATGAACCTTTATCAGATCCTCTGGGTCTGAACTCCAGCGCCTTTCAAACATTTTCATGGCAACTAAAGGAAACCATCTACATCCAGAGGGCCCAGTACACCCAGCTACAAAGCCAAACTGGGTAAAACCGGGGTTTCATGTCCACAGAACACTTTTTTTAAACCTTCGTCCACAGTAAACATTGCAGTTGGTCCAAACTGAGGGCTCATGACCCTTAAATCCAACCAAAACCTTTTCAAACTCTTCTTCGGTCTTTGATTTGTCACACTTCCTAGTTTGATCAGTTTAGTCCAGTTTATCCAGCAGATCCTGCAGGGGGACATAGCTGCTGTATTACCTTCTGTCTGACATTTTTACATTAACTATAGATCCCCAAAAGCAACATTTCACTTTGAATGCAGGTCTCAGATCAGATCCGTGACCAGATTTCAGATCAGGTACAAGATCAAATCTGAGTCCAGTATGGTCTATTCTGGGTTTCTGTACCAGTGTGCCTTTTAACCAAAATAAAAACATTGGAACCGTTAAGAATCTGAAAGTCCAATCTGTCCCAAAGTGATGAGAACACTGATGACTGACAGCAACTGGTTGGACAACTTGGCAGGCAACTTTGTCCAGAGAGTTGCCTCAGAGTCTTTTTTTTTAAAGACCAGTAAGAATCTGGATGTATATCGGCCTCAGTGCGCTTCAAAGAATTTCTTGGATCAACAGTACCAAGTCAGGACCAACAAGTTTTAAGTCAGAACTAAATACCAGTTTGAGACCTCCAAGTCCAAAATCAGGTCCTGGGTCAAGTTCAAACACTTTGTTGTATCATTCAACAGTGCTTACAACAAGTCCTTTACAAAGTCTCAAGCTAAGACCAACAAACCTGGAGTTATGCTTGAATCAAGATCAACAAGTCCCAAATCAAGTCCTAAATCAAGACCAACAGGTTCCACACTATCTGAGGTTAAGGTTGTGTTGTCCTGCAGGAACAACTTTTCCAATGTCAGAAATAACGAGTCGAGTTAAAAACAAGTTTTGAAGTCCCAAAGTCACATCTAGACTCAGTCACGTCCAAACCCTCAATCTCGTGTTTCAAAACCGGAAGAAACCGCTCCTGGGCTTTTTTTTAATGTCTGACAAACATTCTGATCCTGCTTGGCTGCTGCTGGACTGAATCTAAGTTTATTCAAGTAAATTAAAAGCTGATTTTCTGCACATCCAACCTGTAGGTTTTCGGGGGTTTGACTAAAGTCCAAGTCATGTGACTCTAGTAAACACCTCTGCAGGAGCCTTCAGATGTTGGATGAACTACTTCATTTGAAGCATACACAGGCCTCTAGAAAGGTGTCCCTACTTCTGGTTGCTGTAAATAAAAAAAACCCAACAAGTGAAATGTTGCTTTAACCAACTCGTCTATTCTCTTCTCCCTACATCCCTCCAGTTACTGCGACGTTAATATAACAACGTATTTTATTCATACTGCTAAACTCTCTGCTCATCACTTTAAACAAGAATTATTATTTTGACCAAATTTCTGCCATAAAAAACTAAAGCCGACACAGCTGGTCAGCCTTTCGCCGAGTGCAAGCATAAAGCAGAATGTTTACATTACTCATAAATACTTGTCAATGTATGTTTTCAATGCATATAACAATAAATCCATAACATACACAGACTTCCTCTTGTTTTAAATTTAACAGTGCAACATTAGTTTCAGTTCTGTCTGAACAGAGCGGAGGCTCGGTGGTTAAAGGGACTCCGACACATTTTGTTTTTCCACCAGGTGGAAACATTTTGGCACTTCACATAAAAAAAATGACTTTTATCTTTATTAGTGCTCCATTTAACTACAAATTGCGTTGCAGTGGTGAGCGTTTAGACTATGCTGCTCTCACTTCATGGCAAAGTGCTAAAACTCACTTTCCCACCATGCAACATTTTAACAGTCAGAATTTTTCAGCGTCCCTTTAACTGACCTGAAGCTCTCGTTGTCACAGGACGGAGGGAAACGACGACACACACTCGGCTGCATTCACACCTGAAGACACACGAGCAAACAGGGCTTTATACATTACAGAGGGGACGACGGCGAGGACCGGCACAGACGCCAAGTCCTGCCGTTTGTAGCACCAACAAAGAAGAAGAAGACGCTCCCGCACGGAGCGAGAGGCCGTTCAGCAGAGGCAAAGAAGAAAACCTCAGCAATGTGACGTTTCCACGATGATGGAGGACCAAACTCCTTTAGTAACCAGCGAAGAAGAGGAAGGATTTAACACGGGACAAACAGAATTTAAATTCACCCTTTTGATGGTCCTGCTGCTTCTTAACAACAGCTACTACAGCTTACTACAACTTAGGTTCATGCTATTTCATAGGGCTGCAACCTATTTAGGGATATTTGAATTCTAAATATTTTCTTGATTAATTGATTGATTATTTGGCCAATGAAACATCACTAAAAGATGAAAAACAACCATTACAGCATTCTGGATTAAACCCTCAAATGTCTTATTTTGAGTAAACCATAAAACAGAAAATTAATAGTCACGTAAGACTACAAAACTGTAATATTGTGGATTCTTTTTCTTTTAATGTAACTAAAAGCTCCTTCTAAATTGTGCTAAAACTGCAGCATATTCCTTTTCTGTAAGTAACTAGTTGAATTGTTGCAGCTCTAATAATTCTGTTTAGACAATAAATACTTGGACGACCAACAGAAAAGTTTACAACTATTCTGATAATCGATTGCTAGACTTTTGAATAAATAAAGATCTCAATTGTGAAAATGACAAGATATTAAACTGAATATTGGAATCAAAATCTTTTCTATTTGACTGAGCAAAACAGTCAAAATAATGTGAACATTAACTGCAATTTAATGCCAATTATTTTTAATATTAATAAATGACAATATTGTTTGGATCAGTAGATGAATTGTTTTATAAAAGTGTCATATCCTAAAGCCACACAAAGACGTTCAGTTTAAATCCAAGATGTCTGAGAACCAAGAGATGATATTTTGCTCAAAAATGATGCTGATCATTTGCTAATCAATTAATCAATACTTTCAATTTTGACTTTTATTAAAGAGACAATACTTTGCGCAAATCTCACGAGTTAAATTGCCAGTCATTAATCCAGTTATTCTAACACTGAACGCAGATAAGATGTGGATTCAAATGCATGAAAACTAAAACCCATTAGGGCTGGTTAAGGCTGAAGAAACACGCTGTCATTTTCATTAATTTTCACTCACTGTTATGTAGCAATTTATTTCCTAAATAACAGTTTGTGTTTGCATTTAGTCTATTTAGATCTTGTAATTGCTGCTTTTAACTCTCAAGCTTCTCCTGCTGCAAAATAAAGACGAAATGATGTGAAAATAAGGCGGGGGACGTCAGCGACAGAAACAAACGTGGTCGTGTCACATTGCTGATGCAGACAGAGCTGCAGTGGCAATCATCACGAAGAGGTGGCAGAAGTTAGTGCAAAGGGCGCATGGCAACATACAACAACAGCTAAGCCGGCTACCAGGCTATTCATGTGGACTTGAGGTGCTACAGGAGCTAATTCTATACAAATAATGAACAAATGATGTTTTACTGCATGTAAATGAGTGTTAGCGCTACGTGGCAGGTAACTTTGTGCTTTGCTCTTTGTGCCTGAGCCGAAAGATGAACTCGGTGGTCAGGTTCAGCTCACAGGCCAGCACATCAACACAAATCATCTTCTTATTAACTGACATTTGTTTCCCACCGGGTTCGGCTGAGCGCAAATGAAAGGATGAACTCTGGATGGAAGGTCACAGAGACTTAAGAGACACCGTCGGGTTGCGTTGGGATCATCAGGGCTGGATATCGCAGCAAAGCACTGTTGTGACGAATGAACATCTGGTTGGATTCAGAACCTGTGTTTAGCTCCAATTTAGGAGAAATAAAATCTAGCTCATGATGGGATATTTTGGCCAATCACAGATGTTTTTAACAATCTAATGACATAGTATTATTCGTAACAAAGTTAGGTTAGATGGAAGAACTTCACTCAGGAGAGTGGGTTTAAAATCTTAGGTAAAGCCACAAATAAATGTTGACCTTTAGCTTGTTGCTCAAGTAATAGGAGGGTCTAAAAAAAGAGGAGAGATGGAAGAGCGACAGGAGGAAACTGTACATTTTTAAAGTCTGGGTAGTTTTCCCCAGTTTTCTGCTTACTGCAGCTTAAACTGCAGTAACTTGGAAGCATCTTACAGGCTTCTTCCTGAATGGAAACTGCAAAAAATAAAAAATAAATGTACTGATCAACATTAGTGCACTTAATAGTTTTTGTAAAGTCGAGTTATAAAGTCCTCTTTTGAGTCAAGGATGTGCATCTTGTAAACTGTCAGATTGTGAAAGCATTTGTAAATCGATTTGTAATTTAATCAGCATTTGTTTTTTCCACCCCTCAATCTGAACTGACAGAACATCCAACTGTTCTCTTATTACCGGCAACCGATATGATCTGCTGCATTTTTAAAGCAGTTCTCTTGCTGAAAAAAGAATGAAGCTCCAATCTGCTCCTGAGAAAGTAAAAAAAAAAACAGAAAAAGAAGGTTTGATGAAATATTACCAACATTTTCAAGTAATAAATATTTCAAATGATACCCAGCCCTGTTGAAACAGACCTGACATTTGGTGTTTTTGAGTCTTTGATCGATTTTATGTAAAGTCATTTCAGAATTTCCACTCTCAAAATTTACTGTTGTCGACCAGCAAATGTTTTTTTTTGACAAATAATAGCCTGAAGAAATAAATAAAGTCTCATTTAATTTGACCTAATTGTATATGAGATGGCTCATTTTACAGGATGTGATATTTGAGTGATTTGAAGTTTTCTCTCTTTCTCTCTTAAACACACACACAATCAGAAACACGCACAAAACCAACACAGATAAAAACACAAAGCTGTTTAGAACAGAGGAGCAGAGCCAAGATTTGATTCACCTTCACTATAATTCTGTTTAAAAACTTCTTCTTTGCTGCTTTCAGTCTGGAAGCTGATTTTCCAGCGTTTCTGTGAGGTGAAGGAGAATCAACGCTGAGCTCCGTTAAAGAGGTTTTTCATATTTAGCACAGAGAACCTTCACAAGGCTCTGACCCGTAAGTACCTACTGTATCTACCGACTCCACCTGTGATTCAACACTGAACACACTGTTCCTCCTCGCTCTCATCTCCCCTCCTTCCTTTATCTTTTCTTTATCTGTGTTATTTTTCTGAAATGAAGCAAAGGATAAGAGGAGGCGAGTAAGGAAGGAAGGAAGTAGGGAAGGAAGGAAGAGGACGGTATGAGGAGCTGCAGGCGACACACACACAGACACACATGCAGGTTTCTAACAGCGTCCAGTCTGTTTACAGTGCAATGGAGCCGATGGAAGGACAGCGTGTCGACATTTTGGCTTCATGTATCCTCTTTGATTGGCTCTCTGCTGCCGCCAATCTGGGATTTCCACCAACAAGGAAGAGGAGAGGTAAGGGGGAGGGCTTTGCTGCAGGCGAGGTAAAGCTGAGTGATGGAGGGAGGCTGATAAAAAAAGACTAGAGTCCCTCTCTCTTGGAGGAGGTGCTGCTCTCTCCACCCTCCTCGTCAATCTTCACCATTAAGGTGGAGGAAACGGAGGGGGAGGCAACGGGAGCAGCAGAGGAGGTGGAAGGAGGCGGCGGGCTGACATGCAGCTCCACTGGCGTCAGCGTTATCTCCACCTCACCCCGCTCCTCGTGCAGCGTGGGCAGGGGCAGAGCAGGCGGGTGGAGGTGGGCTGTAGGCGGAGGAGCAGCACTGCTGTTGTTATTGCTCGGTCTTGGAGCTTTCTGGATCACCTCCACCATTGGCGTCCGTCCCGGCGCAGCCAGCTCCCAGCTGTGGTTCCCTGGACTCTGGAACACCAACAGCTGCCTGCTGTGGCGGTCTGGCTCGGCCGCTCCGCCCGGCTGGCACTGCACCACTACGCTGCGGTGGTCCACCAGCCGGTGAGCTGGGTCCGACACCGCGGGCAGCTGACTGAGAACCAGCCCCGGCTGGTCCTGGATCACCAGCTCCAGCACCGGCTGCGAGGTGGAAGACGAGGAGGAGGAGGCCTTCTGGATGACGCCGCCGGTGAGGGAGGTGATGATGGATGGGTGGGAGGGAGGAGCAGGAGGGGCAGGCTGAGTGGGGAGAGCAGCAGCGGGAGCAGGGAGGGAGTCCTCCGGGCGAGGTTTTCTTGGTCGTCCTCGTTTCCGTTTCACCGGAGGAGCACTGGCCGTAGATCCACCAGACCCCCCCACAGCGCCGCTGCCTGATGTCACCGCCTCCAGGGGTCGCTTGCTGGCGCTCGCTCGTGCCTTCTGGACCACAGAGGTGGGGGCTGCTGGGGTGTGCTGCTGCTGAGAAGGTGGAGGAGGAGGAGGAGGTGGGGCAACCTTCTCCCTGTCGTAGGACAGACAGCCCTGAGGCAGGATCATCACTGGGACGGGCCCGCCCTGCTGCTGGGGCAGCGTTGCCATGGCGATGACTTTTACCCCACCACCACTGGCAGCGGCGGCGGCAGCGGGGCCTCCGGGCCCTGAAGCCCCTCCAACACCAGAGGCGTCTTTGGGAGCCAGCGAAGGTGGAGAGGAGCGCACAGAGAGGGTCTTATCAGGTAGGGAGCTCCGAGGAAGGATTCTGGGCAACTGCTTCATGAAGGCCTCAACCTGCAGACACAGCGATCAATATCACTGATCGATCTGTTCATTAAGAACAAGAAATAAACAGCAGACAAAAATCTGATTTGTGAATTTCTTCCATAATTTATAAAGACTGATTGTTCACAATGCTACACTCTTGACCGTCTATTTGACTTCAGACTACACTTGACTAAAAAGTCTGCAGCAGAGGAATGTTCCAAACTCCTTCACAGTCTGGTGTGAGTATATTTAAGATGATGTGAAGAGAGAGATGATGTCACATCACAAAGAGATTGCAGAGAGAATTTGCCTACAGCTGCCTGTGTCCTTATGGCTAAATCTCTGACTGCTAGGGAAGAAACTGATGATTATTTCCATATTCAATTATTATGTTGACTATTTCTGTTAATAATCAGACTATAAAATGTCAGAACATGATGAAAAATGTCAATCAGAGTTTCCTGAAGGCAAAAATGACAAATGCCTTGCTTTGTCCACAATCCAAAGATATTCAGTTTGTATTCACAAAGAGAAGAAACCAGAAAACATTCAAATTTAAGACGCTGCAATTAGATAAATTAGACGTTTTTTTTTCCCCCTCAAAAAATGACTCAAACAGAGTAATCAATTCCCAAAGTAGTTGGTGATGAATTTAAAAGTTGACAGCTAAATGATTAACTTTCTTTGCTCTGCTTCATAATTCTTTACTAAATGCAGGTGATTTTTTTTGTTTGTTGGTTTGTTCTCAGCTGCACCCATTGGTCTGCTGAAAAAACAATCCCTTGCATACAAATATATAAAGTTGGCTTCAGTCTGGATCTCTGTGTGTTGCATTCAGTCACAGAGCACAACAAAGAAAAACTCTGAAGTGACCAAATTTCCTTTGAATAGTAGGCACATTGCCCAGGTGGAGGTAGTGTGGTAATATGTTGGACAGACAAATAAAACACTCTCGTACTTACAAAAGTATGAAAGATGTATGAAATGTATTTTGTTCACTCCTCCGACCACCAGGTGGCGCTTCCTCGTTCCAGTAATTGGAAGGTATACAAATTTGGCACGCTGTTTTGAAAGCAGACATCACCCGGGTCGCTTTTTAAGGTGACAAAAAGAAAAGCATTTTGTTGTTGTCGACTTACCGCAGGACGCAGAGACGAGGAGGAAGAGGAAGAGGAGGAAGAGGATGGAGGAGGGGCGTCCAGCGAGGAAGACTTGGCTGCTGCAGCAGATTTGTCTCCAGGCGCCTTCAACGAGGACGAGGAGGAAGAATCCCCGAGTTCCTTCTGCACAGACACAGAAGCAGTGAGCAGCGGGAAACACCAACCAGTGAGATCAATGACAGCTTTTGAATCTCACCTTCAGATCTGCAGCTCCATCGCCGTCAGCTTTGGAGATCACAGGAGCTTTCTTGATGACTTTGTGGGTTTTAGCTGGACCTCCTGCACACAAACAAAAATCTCTTGTTAAGTCATGTCTTAACAAACTGCAGCAGCATCCACATCTGTTTTAGTCACAGTTACAATGAGTTCATCTAAAAGACTTCAGAACTCCATCCCTGTTATCTAAAAATACATTCCAACTTTGTCTCACTTGACAAAATATATCCCAACTTTCCAAAACATGTTCCCACCATATAAGTAATGTCCTCGTTCCGAAAATGCCTCTTCTTAACAAAATATGATACAACACTCCAAAAACATGTCCTTACTTTCTAAAATTATGAACCCTGTTTGCAAGAAGTTCTAACTTTACAGAAACATGTCGTCACCGTACAAAATATGCCCTCTCTTTACAAAATGTGCTGGAACAATTCAAACAACGTGTCCTTTCTTTACAAAGTATGTCCTAGCGTTTCAACTTTCAAAAAAAATCTCCTCAACAAAAACACACCCACACTTTAAAGAAATGTCAGACATTTTTAAAAAAAAAACAACAACTAACTTTCCAAAAAATATCTCCTCTTTGCAAAATATGTCCCTCTTGGGTGATTTATCTTGCCGTTTGATGATCTGAGTCACACTCCCCCACAGATTTACTCACTGATCAATATTATGGTTGCCTGGATACAAAACTTGTCAATCTGGCTCAAGGTTAAAGGACCAATTTACAAATCTCTGCATCCTGTTTTTACTCTGACTCTACTCTTATAGACCCTGCTGCTTCTTTCAAGACGTTGGTCCACTTGTAGTTATTCTTCTTGCACCGTACTGACTTCTGTTTACAAAATAAGTTACACCTCCAAGATGCAAAGTGAGTCCAATGAATGCTGTCGTAATTATGTCACAAAAAAAATCATGCTTCTGCTTGGTTCATGTAGAGATTTGTGATTTGAACCTTGAGATAAGATTGGTTTATTTCCTCAGAAAAGTAGTTTATCTGACAAATTAGGATCATCCACCCCTCCGTCCCTACTTTCCAGAAATATTCCTCTCTCCTCACAGGGTCTAGATTAAACACACACACTGCATCACACCTGCGAGCGCTGCGGAGGTCACCAGCTCGGCCTGGCTGCAGCGAGGGTTGACGATGTGCTCCTGGATCAGGTAGCGAGCGATCTCCACCACCGTGTCAAAGGAGCGCTTCAGGATCTTCTGCGCCCAATCACAGATCAGCTCACACGCCGCCTCCGTCACTTCCTGTTTGTAGGTCTGGACCAGCTCGGTCAGCTCCGCCTGGAGGCGAAGGGGAGCAAACGTCAGCGGGGACTCATGAAAACAGACTGTCTGATGAGTTATGGTACTATAACACTGCATACATGTTCCTCATGTTAAATCAGCTTCCTCTTTGTTATCATAACAAACTACAGACTTGAAACTATTTATTTGAGCACTCACTGCTGCCTCTGTCTTTCCTAATCATATTTAGGTACAAATCTCAAAGGTCTTTTCTTTAAAATAAATAGAAAGTCAAATGAAAATACATTTTTGATTAATCTTTAAGCAAAAATGCAAAAACATTGGCTCCAGCTTCTGAAATTATGCTTTTCTTTGTCTGAATAATAACAGTAAAAACTTTCCCACTTAAAAAGGAAAACTTCTTACTTTCTAAATAATGTCCTAACTTGAAAAAATATCTCATTTTTGCAAAACTCTTCTGCAACAAACATTGGTTCCAGGTTAGATTTGCTTGTTTTTGTTTTGTCTGAATAAAAAAAACTTTTGTACATTTCTTTAAGAGTAATTTTCCCTGTTGTCATAAATTTTATAAACAAATCAGTTAATTAATCAGTGATCTGTTCCTTGAGTTTCATGTTGCTCTGTATGTGTGTGTGTGTGTGTGTGTGTGTGTGTGTTGTTGTACCGGGTCGTTCTTCAGGTCCAGGTTTGGCAGCAGAGGCATGTTGAGAACCGTCTTCCTCCTGATGCCGCTGTAACAGTACGTACGATCGAGGCATGTTAAGGAAATCAAGCTGGAGCTGCAGTCAGTCCCATAAACACCAAGGACCACATACATTCTTATTTTTTAGATTTTATTATCTTAACTAGCTATCTTTCATCGTTGCCTTATTTGCATTTATTCCCTATATAATTTTCTAGCTTTGAATGGTTTGTCATTTGATCGTAACTCACTTTGAATTTCACTAAAAAGCACTGCTGTGTACAAATTAAGTCTGACTGGCTTAATAATGAGTCTGTGATGCCTGTCAGGGGGAGCTTTAAACCTCCAGTTTTCAAGAAATCTGTTTTTTTTTTTTTTCCCAGAGCCAGCAATCCATTAAATACTGTCCATAATTCTTTTTTTTCATTATTATCATTATTTCATCTGTTGACTTTCAGCACAGTTGAAGCAGCAAATGTTTACTCATTTGCATGTTTAATATTCATGTATTTATTGGATGTTTTAATGTGTGTTGTTTTCTAGTATCTCTCAAGTACCCGTGTGAATTTAAATGTATTTTCCTTCCTTCACTGTTGTTTTGTTCTTGTTGTCTGCTGTTAATCATTCAGTCTTTAGGTGAATCTGTTTGCAACATTCCTAAGTAATGTGCTATATAAATAATGCTTATTATCATTATTACTATTATTATTGTTATTATTATTATTACTATTGTTACTAATATTAGACTGATCAATTGATAAAGACCTGGTACTCTGTGCCACTTGAGAATTTACAGTAACTCAGCTACAGTTCTATAAACATTAAGATGCAGAAGTGGTAAAAGAAGCCTACATGCAGAACAAATCTGAAACAGCAGCTGACTCAGACTGTCCTCACGTCTGTCCAGCGGGTAAAAGGATATTTAGACTGTCCTCTGCCGCCGAGACGTCTCGCCTTGATGTTGGGGAAAATGTCTCTGATGATCTTCCCAAAGTTGGCGGCGCTTAGAGGACGATGCTGCAGGTTCTCACAGTATCTCCTGCCGGACGGGGAGTCAGATGATTTTAATGTTAATGTTATCAGACTGTCAGATTTTAGGCTCTTTTCATTGTTGGGTTAATGTGAGGCTTCATATTATGTGAAATGAGTGTATTTTCTGACTTGTATGTCTCGTAGACGTCCTGTTTGGGCAGGCAGGTGTCTGAATGCTCCTCCAGGTGACTGCGGATCCAGTTACAGGTGTGAAGCTGGTCGGCTGTGTTGAATGAACTGGAGTCGCCGCCACTGTGCACAAACACAAAGTCACAATTCAATAAAAAGCACACTTCTGCCTTCCTGTCAAACACATTTGGTAAGACTTTATTTGCATGTCTTTATTTCCTAAAAATCTGCTACATCTTAAATTCAGCTCTAAACTTCAGGATATTTCAAAAGATGTCCTGCACAGATTGGTTCTATTTAGAAAGTGAATGGAGACGGAAAAAAGACTTGGAAAACACATGGTGTTCAACCTTAACGTGGAGGATTAACAATTGTGATTAAAGGTGAGTCTGCAGCTTTGATCCAGAGACCAAACAGCAGTTTTCACAGTAGAAAAATATTTTGGAAATGCTACAGGTTGGTTGCACTTTTTGCCCCAATATACAAAGTTTTGTCCCCATTTCACTAAAATTCTATAATGGAGGTGGAGGGCCTTCCACCTCTAAATGTAGCACGACCCATAGAGACACACTATGGATTTACTTACCTAATACATCATTTACTAGCATTTTTAAGGGGTACTCAGTAACTGCAACATTTCCTCCATTTCTCTTGTAATCAGAACCAATCTGTGCAGACCTTTCTTGTAAATATCCTGTAACTTGCAGCTGATGTTTAGGATAATATTAGAAAGGTTTGCAGAAAACCTGTAGTTTAATACAAGACCTGTAAAATAAAGCGACTTTAAATCAGTAACATGTAAAGATTTCTGACCTCTTGTCTCCAGAACTGGGTCCAGAGGGCAGCTGGAGGTACAGATACAACTTGTCGTTGTCAGAGAAACGCTGAACATCTTGCTGTTGAAGAAGAAGACAACAGTTCACACCTGAGCGCCAAGGGGAAGTGCAAGAACCATTGAACTATGCAGATTCCATTTAAAATTCAGGGAGAAGTTCTTACCAGGATCTGATCCACTTTGGTTTGAACATTCTTACTGCAACAGAAAACACACCGATCAGAAATCTGACGGACATGCTTAGCCTCAGGTGGACACCAGGTACGTCTACAACTAACTCATGTTTTCAGACAAGGAGGCATTAAAACTTCTCAGTCAGAGACTTACTAAAAGTAACAGAGAAATAATTAGAATAGCTTCACCTAATGGTAAAAGGCCGCTACAACAACTGGTAAATTATAGAAATATGGTTGCAACATTTAATGTAATGGAGACACCGCTGAAAGGTTCAGCCTCTAAATAGTGGAAGTACAAATACAGAGCTTAGCAGAGAGGAGACGACGAGAGCGACTAAGAGGATAATGAAGCATACTGAATCAATAAACTAAATGCAGTGTGGCTCAAAAATGGTAAGCGAGTTGTCTGCAAGTTAATGGAAGATACATTCAGCATAGAGGAATATCTTTCTAGAGTTGATGTGCAGAGCAGTTTGAAAACCTCAGTTTACAGAGGTTGTAAAAAAGTGGGCACAAATTTCATTTTTTTCCCAGCTATTATTGTTTCCATATATGCAACTACACCTGAAAACACAATAACTTCAGCCTTTTAGCTGTTTGTGTGTGTGTGTTTTTTTTGTTTTTTTTACAAAAAAACAAAAAACACACCAAACTGCAGATTTTTAGGACTGAAGATTGAAGTTAGTCTGCTCTGTGTTTCTCTTTTTCTGGGTTTCCTGTGACACTTACGAAATGTTGCTTTTGAGTTTCTGCAGCAGCATGCTGGGCTCAGTGTCGCCCTCCCCCGCCTCCAGGCTGCCCTCCCCCCGCCGGGAGCCTTCGGCCCGCTGGTGCCGCTGGTCCTCCGACATCTGGACCAACTAACCAGTGCTGAGAACCACCATCTGAGAACACACAGGCAAAATCACTTCAAGTACATACAACAGACAAAACTATGTGGCTGAAAGTTTTGTATTGGGAAAATAAAGCTGGCATATAAGCAGTGAGTCATGTAAGTCAAAGTTAAAAATTAATCACAGACTTAAAACCCCATTTTTATCCCAATCAATTAAGATTTGAAGCTAAAGGAACAATCAGTTGCTTAAACTAGCAACAAGTAGCAACAATTTGATTCACAATTATAAAGCTACAAGTGAGTTTCATGCGTTTCAGGCTTTGTTTGTCTTTCCGAGAGTAAAGTGAAGACCTCTGAGTTTTAAACCAAATAAGACAAATGCAGATGTCACCTCAGGTCTCAAGAAACCACAACAAACATTTTTCACCTCTTTATGATGTTTTATATTCCAACAAATTAACTGGTTGATCGAACAATATATTTGAAAGACAAACCAGTTCTGGAATAATCAACAGTAAATGAATCAAGCTTAAATCAAAACTTTAGCTTGCATCAGAAAGCAGAGGTCAAAACCACCAGCAAACATCAAATCATCCAATCTGTGTGTAAGTGTTGAAGTCAATCTGGCTTAATCAAACGTGAACAGTTCAAAGCAACAGTGATCAATATGCATCATGGAAAACTGCAATCATTAGAGTTATTGATGAGCATTTCAGCATGAAAAACAATCAATACACAATGATCACACAGAGGAAGCGTCTCACTGACTACAGCAATTATCAGACTGAGGAAACTGTCAACAAAGCAACCAAATCAGAGACTGAAACTACAAATTGAAACGTAAGAATTAAATGTCAAAGAAGGAAAAGTCAAATGAAAAATAATTCTTCTCAGCAACACAGCTCTCAGAGGGATCTAACACCTAAACAGTTGTTTTTTTGGATTAGATGTTAAAATGCTTCGACACACAGAAGAGCTGTAAGGCTTCAGTCAACAATTAGTTTCATTTTCAATCAACCCGACAGCTATTGCATTGTAATAATAGATTGTGAGTCTATAAAACGTCTGAAAAAGTGACAAATGCTCATATTTACTTTAGAAGTGCCGGAAGCTGTTATAGAAAACCGGAAAAACCAGCACATTATTGTGGAAGCTTTTATGTATCATTAAATAAAATCTAGAAGTCTGAGTTGTCTTTGTTTTACTCAAAGCTTGAAAGGTACAGGTCATACAGAGCGCAAAGCAGTCTGTAGGAGAGTACAACTGAGTGCAGACAGCGTTTACACAGTGAAGGTGCTGTCTTCCTGATATGCAAAACTGACAGTTGCTGGGCAGATTAGTTCACCTTCCCTGCAGCTGTGGAGAACAAACTCGTAACTGCAGGTGTGTGGATGCGATTAAGATAAAAAATACCTACGAGTCATAGAGAGACAGATACGGTGAGACATAGTGTGCGTCTACGTTATGAGACGTGCATTCGGATTTACAAGAAAGCTCTGCTTTTCTGTTCTTCCAAAAAGTGCATAAGCAGCGAGATCATTAAGGCAAACAGATGAGAGGTCTTTTGCTACAGCAATGTACAAGCATAGAAAATTTCCATTACAACACATCTACATTTGAGAAGCTGGGAAGCTTTCATTTATCCAATCTATGGATTTTCTGTCAATCAGCTAATTATTCCAGCTGATTCCTGTTAGTCTCTGAGGACATATTGACAACTATTGCACATGTCATTAAGTTACTGGGGGTTAATCGGGGCTATGGCTGCTCATTCATTTGACTGACTTTCCCCTTCCCTGTATTCTATTTTATGATGTGAAGTAAGACATATTAATTCAAACACATTATGCTACAACTTTTTTTCTGCCTCTTTGTACAAACAGAAAACTTGCACAGTTTGAGTCTTTCTGATAGAGCATTATCTACTCTGATTTTAAGGATTCTTCTTTAGATAAACTGATTGTTTTAAAACTCTGTTTAAATGACATGGAGTTTGTGGACATGCAGGCTTCACAAGTGCACAGCAAAACGAACGACCAACAGGAGAGAAACACTGGAAAGGAAGACTTGGTTGCAAAAACAAACGCAGCCTCAAGGTATCCGGAAATAGTTCCAATACAAAAAGAATGACGATCAGAAACAGGTACTCTGTCGACAGTGCCTTGCAATTATTGCAAAGCCAAATCCAAATGCTATCTAAAGTAAAACGTTATTTTGAATGCCTTTGCCAGTGCTACATCATATGAGAAAAGCTCCAAACAGCTTTTGTCAGCTTTGTTTAAATTATATTTTACAAGCAGACAGTGTCAGAACAGATGATTTACAGGTATTTTCCGACAGGAAAACAATGCAGGCCACACCTTCCTACAACAAACACTGGCTGCACCTGATTAGACAAACACTTCGTGTGTAGGCTGGAATTCAAAAAGAACCAACATGTCAGCTCATTTCAAAACTTCCCTTACATCACAAAAATCCTAACAATCTGAACGCGTATGATTAGATCAACTGTAGTCAGTTTGTAAGTCTGTCAGAAGTTTCCAGAGGTATCGAGTTGCAGCTGGACGCCTCAGATTTTCATAAAGTAATCTAGACCTCATCTTTTTGCAAATGAGGAGACGACAAAGACACTCCCTGTGTCTCTAAATGCATACGATGCTACCAGAATGCATTGCATGGCTGCTTACATTAACAATTAATAGAAAGCCTTAAAATGACAGATCCTGTGGACACCAGTACCAGTGAATCAACTTCAATTACTTTTAAAGTTATGCCCCTGATTTGCATGAAGTATGCCAGACTTCATGTAACTGGGGAGAAGCCAACATTATGCCACTTCTCTCAAAATGCAATTCACTGGGACCGGAATGCATTGCAGGGCTACTTACAAAGACAATGAATGGGAAGCCTAGAAATGACAGATCCTGTGGACATGTACCACTACAAGTCAGTGCCCAGGGGTCCGTGCATGCCAGGGCCCCTCAGGAGGTTTAGCCCACTGGAAAGAGAGGATTTTAACAAAACGTACAGTATTTGAAATAAAAAGCTGGATAGTAAAGTGCTGATTGACAATCAAAGCTTGAATCAGTCTGCGGGGTCATGTAAATGAGGTCTGGGGCGGTAAACGACTGTCTCAGACTGCCGGACGGGACTCTGCAGCCCGACCACAGCTGCCCACTCCATCAACATCACACCGCGTTGCCGTTAAGCTCAGATTTCAGCCCGGTTCCGCGCTGACAGCCGGTTAAAAGGCCCGCTGGCTGCCGGGTAGTGACACATGCCGGCTGTCACGGTGCTGTGAAACGTTACGAGTACAACTGGAGCGGGAGGCATGTTTCGGCGGAGCCAGACCCAGCCCGCCGCCGGCCGTGCCCTCCTCAAACCCCCGTTAATGTGAGCCGGAGGTGCCGGTGTTACAGCCGTGCTCTCCATGTCAGCTCTGCCTGCCGTGTTTACAGCGGGCGCAGCGCCGGTGGTCATGTGCTGCCATTTACTACACAACACACACACACCGCTCTACATGTTACTGCGAGCTAACAGGCTAGCGGACAACACACACACACACCCTCCGCGTTAGCTGACAGCGACAGGCAGGGAAACTCTGACACGCTAGCTGCGTTTATTACAGACATAAATGATGAATTTTTCACCGGCACAGAAATCCAGAAAACGGTTTCCCGCGAAGGAGAGGATTAGTTCGACTGACATTTGCGCGGTTAGCGACGAACCGCCGCTACCCATTACAGGCTAGCTAACTAGCTTAGCTAGTTGCTATCAGATAGCATTAGCTAGCAAGCAAAGAAACGCCCTTTAAACACGTTTCGAAGCGCTGTTTTTAATTTCTAATTAATTCCCGATGACAGTTCATTAATTCTGTTATTAGTTTGTAACCGTTTGGGTGAGTAGCTTTTGAGTATTTATTTTAAAAAAGAAAAAGAAAGTACCTGAGCCAAGATACAGCAAAAATCCCCCTTCAGATTTTTTTGTGATTGGATGACTTTGTTATGTCTGCCTGACTACAAAGCCATCGTCTATTCCGATTGGTCGGCTCACGCAAATCTACCCGGATACCAAAAGCTGGCGAAATTCCATTTGTCGAGCAGAATTATTTTTCTGACAGGGATTATTCTGGTTGGACGTGTTTTCCTGGTCTGCCCAGTTACAAAACAGATGCATTTATCTGGCGAAATCTGGATAGCAACAGTGGCCCGTTCACACAGGGAAAGCGAAACTACTTTAAATAAACATGCGTGTAACATGTATGTTGCGATAATTTACAGTTCAGAGAAATTTAGAGGAGAGTGGACACTTAACGACACTACAATCTGGGATTTGCATATTAAATACAACATGGAGAAATCTGAGATTCTCTCAATTTTTGTTTATTGTGTTATTATTTTTAGGATTAATTTCGGTAGTATGGTCTCTCAGCGTAAAACTCAAAACAGTTAGCTGGAAACAAACTGCAATTGAAAAAAATGTGCTTTACTCCAAAAGAAACCAATTTGACCAAAACCTTTGTTATAAAAAATGTGTTCATCTCCGATAAGAGACAATGAGTCTGAAACTGTTAACAATCCTGACACAAACCACAGGATACCTATAATTGTTAAAATAAAATGTGGAATATTAGCATCCAATGTCATGTGAATATATATTATAAAGTTTGATATGTATTATCTACTGAGCAGAAATTTAATTTACCGCTGAGGAAAAGAAGTGACATTTGCACATGACACAAATAAAACCATAAAAACAACACATATTCCATTGGTCGCATTTATTTGTCATTATACAAAAGTGACAGAGAACATCAGAAAGAAACTAAACTGGGATAAGATACGTTCAATGTGAGCAGTTGTTTTTGATGCAGCAGAGAGAAAGTTGCAGCTCGTCTTCATTCAAACCCGCTGCAGAGAAACAGAATGACAAACACAAGTTAATGCAGAGAAGTTACATGCACAGTCTTTACCATCTCAAAATCTGGTTTCACACCTTCAACACTTTAATATGAAACTTTGTTTGTGTACAACCCTACCTTTCACTTCATACAATTTAATTTATTTATATATTATATATACACAGGAAACACTAATGAACGCAGCTATAAAGGTTTCCTCAGACAGAAAAGATGCTTTGCTCTCCCACACGGTGGTATTATGGCTGTGCTGGCTGCCTGTTTCAAATGGCTTTGCTTGTCCGATCAATTTAGTTTAGAAATCCCACATTTCATAATTCAGAAAATGGAAACACTAATATTTTTCTATACTCCTATGTTATTCCTAAAACCATCCAGACCTGGACACTACTAAAAACAAATTCTAGACTTTTTCATATTTCGTAGGAATATGAATGAACCATGTTCATTATATAAAAACACTCTCACAAGATATCATATTCATTAAAATGGGAAGCATGGACATAAAGACATCAGAACCAAAACAGAGGCATAATAAAAGCCCTCTCACAGCTGGAGAGTTTTAATGTGAAGCAGCTGCAAAAGTAGCGCAATACACAGTCATCTGAATGAAAACTTGTGGCTGAAATACAAGTTGGTCTGGTTGTAAACAATCAACATTCCATCTGAAACTTTGCATTTTTATTTTTATGATTAGCGAAAGCTGCATCTGGATATTTCTGCTTCATTTCTGCATCAGTGTGTTTTGGCTTTTTGTGCAATACTGTGTTTAATATCGGATTCAAAGAAACAATAAACAGCACACAATGCAGCTCATTTCCACTGTTAGAGAATTAGTCATAGTATCAGCTGTAGTAATCTGGTATGTGTAAAAGTCAAACTGCTGCAGAAAAACGATATCGGCTCTTGTTTAGCTCCCCGTCCTCTGACCTACCTGACCATGTGAGCGATGTCCCAGTTGGTTTCAGAAGACAGAGGACCAATGATCTCCACACCTTCTTCTGTAACTATGGCAATCTCGTGCTAAAATGAAAAAACATCACTTTATGCAAAATGAAACAAATATTTAAAACGCTTTCCTGATTCAACAGAAAAGACTATTTCTAAACATTTTTGTATTTTATCACTCTCACTTTTTTTAATTGATAACTGACCGATATAATTAAGTACCCTTGTCTCTTTTCAAAGAACGCCTTATTATTTCCCCTTTCTTTGGCGTTCAGTTATTTTTGAAGTCTAAAGGCAACATGTAACTGAAAGTGAATGTAAAAACAATTACAGGTAAAAATGTAAATTACACAGCAGTTACAAAGCGAGTGTCTCTTTCTGACAGCAGACCTGAGATCAGTTTGGAGATGGGAGGTGAAGTTAACTCACCCGGTTGTAGGAGCGAGCGTCTCTGTAGTACAGTACTTTGAGGCAGCGCTCCACCAGTTCACGGGCTTCCTGTTTGGTGATCTCCGCCTTGCCCTCCACCACCTCCCTCATCAGAGGCTGCAAAAAAACATACACAGTTTGAGCTTTTTTTCTGTGTGTTCATATTCAAACAAACACAAAAGCAAATTTAAAGATATAGAAAAAAAAGCTTGAAAAAACATGAAAATAAGAAGCAGTAAATTGTTGTGAGAAAATCTAAGTATCAGATCAGACTGAAATTTGAACTTGGTTTGGGATCAGAGCCACAGAAACTTGAGAAATGAGGCCTATTATACAGAAACAGAAATAGTCAGCAGAGTTTCAACTTTCTGACAGTCCTTGTATGTATCTTGTGCGATATGTGGCTCCGTCAGGAAACATTTATCAAATGTAAGCGTAAAACTGTGATAATCCCTCAAAATCGCTTTATTCTACAAGTTTAATAAGAAATTTCTCCAAAACTTAAGTGTTTGCATCAGATCCTGCAAAAAACACACTTCCAGTTGCAGTGTTGAGTTCAAACACACCTGAGCCAGGTACGCTCCAAAGCCTGTGGCCACTGTGGGAGCCTCATAAGCCACGCCCAGCTTGTCCACATAACCGAGGAAACTAGAGAAAAGCAAGAGGGAGGGTTACTTATAGCTCACAAAACAGGTCTGAGAAGTAACAATAGATGTGAACAGTAATTTATTAATTTTAAATAACAGAAATCGTTGTTGACTTCTCACAAATATAAAAAGACATGTCAATGCATCTCACCTCTCCCCGTTGTAGAAACCTCCAATGACCACAGTGTTCCACAGAGGATTCATTCTGCTGCGACGGTTGTACATCACTCTGGTGAGCCAGGAGTGGACGGCCTTTGGACTGTAGCTGTGGCCGTCACCCAGCAGCTCCTCGTCAATCCTGATGGAAGAATCAAAATATTTATATATTTACATTAAGCAGAGAGCCGGCTGTGTTTCTGCATCTTGCTTGGCAGCTTACACCATCTGTTCGATGATCTGCTTGAGGTACTGGTAGTCGGCGTAGTCTCCTGACGCTCCCAAGATGGTGTTGTTATTTACCTGAAGCACAAAAACGCATTAAACACATTTTCATTCATTTACGGGTAGAGCTGATGTTCTGTCAGTGGTGACCATTACCTTCATGAGGCGGGAAATGTTCCTGAATCGAGCCAGAGAGCCATACGAGCCCAACATGTCCGCTGCGATGATGACGCCCCCATTGAACTTCACGCCGAGCACCGACGTCCCGGTTACCATCGGGTTACTATGGAGAGATGGGGAGTTATTCTCACTAACAGTCAGTCAGACAACAAAGATCAGTGAACATGAATGTGTCCGAAATGTAATCTTTCAGAAAATGGCAAACAATAATGCACTCAGCTGTTTAAGTTCTTCTCTGATAAGGTCAATCACCAAGCTAAAGGCAACATATATATCATATATATACCTATATATATATACACACATACACACACACACACACACACACACACATATATATAGTGTTTTTTTGTTTTTTTTTAAACAAGGAATCAGTTACAAAAGCTAAAACGACTACAACGTTCAACAGCCCAGTGTAATGTATTCAGCTGTGTTGTTTTGTCTGATAACGAGTCCAAAACCTAAATATACTCATGAGACAGAAAAGCAGCAAATCCGCTTTAAAAAACATAGACAAAGCACATATATGACTTTTAATGTTATAAAAATTACTGAAATAAATATGCACTTGAGAAAGTCACGTCAATCAATTACCGATAGTGAATCTGTGTTTTCTTCTCCTGAATTCCATCAACTCACTTTGTAGTTACAACAGTTAGCTAAAAAGCTAATCGTTAGTCAGCAAAACGCCACAAAAACAATAAAAAAAACCTACAGCGTTCCCAGTTTTATGAGGATGAACATGTTATTAATCACATAACTTTATTACAAAAGTTACAGACTGTCAGCACTTAGCGGTAAACTAAAGTAAACCAAATGTTAGCTTAGCATTGTTTCTCCATGATGATGCAGCAGTGCGGCGGAGCTCAAACCGAAACTGACAGCGGCGCATCAGCTGACATTAACCGTTAAAAATCCGGTTCTGTCGGAACGGTTCACTCACAGTGTGTGTCTGACCGGTCCACATGCTGGGCTCGATCCGCTGCTGCTGCCGGGAAAATTGTAAAACTGTCCTGGCTGTGGTCCATTCCCCCAGAAATTCAGCTTCAAACCATTCGACTCCATGTTGGATGTATCTGCCGGAAGTGACGTTTCTGCGTCATCTTGTGGGAAAGGGGTGGCTGACGTCAATGAGGGGGGATTTACCGCCATCTGCTGGTCGGAGGTGATACAAGCTACATGCTAATATATAGGGACATACAAAATTAGGTATAATAAAAAGTAGGATTAAAAAAAAAACACACACAAGGATAAGACAGTATATGCGTTTTAAAGATAAAATAACTGAGATGAAGCGAATACTATCGTTTTCCAAACAAAAAACGAAATAAGAGCAGGGCTTTAGAATAAATGAATGTGCAATAAATAAATGCTAGTGTTGTAATCTAATACATCAGCCCCTAACTAAAACAATAATAATAAAAATAATAATAATAATAATAATAATTCAGGGGTTTGTGAGTGGAACAATAAAATATTATATTTTACCAGAACTTGTAGTTTACTGTGGGGGCCTAAAGTGCCCAAATATACAATATGATGAATTAAAATAAATAAATAAAATAACAATAGCAATATAAATAAGAATATGAGTACAATGACAAAAATAATAAATACTTCTAAATATCCTCAGAAAAGGAATAACTGAATGTGCAATACACAAATGCTAGTTCTTGTAGTCCAGTACAACAATCCCCGATTAACAATTAAAAAATAGGATCAGAGCTTTCTTTCCAGTTCATGGGAGAATATATAAATTATTATTATTTTTTAGTACCTGTAATTAACTATGGGGGCCTAAAAGTGGCAAAATACACACTGTGATGAAGTAATAACAGTAAAGATACAGAATTTGAAGGAATAGAAATAATTCATACTTTAATCTTAAATAAATGTTGTAATTTATTACAACATCCCTATACTAAAATATACAAATATTTCTAAAAACAATAAATAATGAATAAATGAGAAGTTTTCTGATAAGATGTTTCAGGTGGTAGCAAGGTCACACATGGTGGCAGTTTGCGTTTTCTTTGACGATAACAGAAACTGGTCGTTATTTATTAACAAAAAAAGAGGCTGTGAGTTTTATTTTGAAAGGTCAGCGAGATACCGAGGGTGATTGGACAGCGCAGGACGGTGGATGTTTCTGTCCCCCTAGTCAGCAAAGTCTTTCCTGATCTGACTGAATGTGGACGGCATGGACAAATTCTTGAAGTCGAGTAGGTCTGCTGCGAAGGTGAGTGTGTGTGTGTAGGTCGATTGATAATGTACTGACACACACACATCAGACTGCAGGTGGATGAAGGTGACACCTCTGAGCAGGTCTTTGTGCTGCTCATGTTGTGGTGACACAAGTTGCATATCATAGGGATCTGTGGTGGTTTTGTATCTCTTTGTGGTTGTTTTGTGTCTGTTTGTGGTGGAGTTTTTGTCTCTTTGTGGTTGTTTCATGTCTCTTTGAGTCATTTTGTATCTCATTATGATCATTTTATTTATCTTTGTGCCTCTTCTTGTGTTAATGCAGTCATTTTGTCTCTTTTAATGGTTGTTTGATTTTGTTGTCGTCATGTCTTCCTGTTTAAGTCGTTTTGTGTCTCTTTGTGGTCGTTTTGTGTCTGTTTGTGGTCATTCATTGTGGTTTTGTGTTTATTTGTGGTATTTTTATGTAAGTTTGTGGTAATTTTGTTTCATTTTGTGTCTTTTTGCAGTCATGCCTGTCCATGTAATTAGCTTTATGTCTCTTTGTGGTCATTTTTGTGTCTTTATAGTCATTTTGTATCTCTTTGTGTCTACCTTTATGCCTCTGTGATCATTTTGTGTGTCTGTTTCTGTGTTTCTGTGTGGTCATTTCTGGCTCTTTTAGTCATTTTGTGTCATTTTGTGGTTGTGTTGTGTGTTTTCATGTATTTTTTTTATATTTAAAGTTTATTAGTGCTTTATATTTTAAAGGAGTATTTCGCAGGTATGGTGTTAGTTGTGATTTACCCGAGCTGAGGCTGTGTTTGCCAGAAACATGCAGTCGGTTGAGGACACACAGCACACAAAGCAAATATTTACAGACGGACAGTTAAACACGTTACTGTTTCTCCTGCGTCTGAAGTTCACGGACAGAGACAGCATGAATGTCTGCTTCCTCTGTTTGACTTTTTCTTCATATATTCTCTTCGACCAACATTTCAGTTTAAAAGGAGTCTCCAGTTATTGCAACTGAAAGATCTCATAATAAAGATTATTTTTTATTTAAATGTTTACATATGATGTGTTTTCATTCAATTGTTCATATTTACTTTCTAAGAAAAAGCTGACAACAAAACAATCACCTGGTATTTCACTTGGTAAAGAAAATAAAACTTTAAAGACTCGGTTACACAAAGGAGGGTGACTCAAAAGAGAACATTTTGTTTTGTAAAGTATTAAGAAATGGAACCTGCCTCATTAATCAGGTTGAGCAAAAAGTGCTTCAAGTAGAAGTTTAAAGTACAAATACTCATGATGCACTCTCCTCTCACAGACCGGTTTCCGTAACAACCTGAGAGTCCACGTGATCCTGGGTAGTGAGTCATGTGACCTGGACTCAGCCGTGTCCACGCTGGCCATGGCCTACTTCCTGTCCAGGGTATGTTGACACAGAGGTTAAAAAAGGTTTTATGTTTCCAGTAAAAGATGATGAAGAAGTCAAATCAAAGTAAAATTATCTGGTCAGACAACTTAGTATGACGACTACTTTAATTGTTTGAATGCCTTTAGCTGAATGAAGGAATAAAAATCCTGAATTAAATGCTTTTTATATTAACATAATCCAGATTCAGAGTATTGAAGACACATTTTCAAAGACTGTTCTAAAAACAGTGAAGCTTCTACTGTCTAAAACAAAACTGGGGAGGAAATACCTATTAAGTAATCAATTTAGAGTGCATTCTATTCCAGGAGTTCAAAACATAGTTATCCAAATTAGAACATAAAAATTCAACAAACCTTATATTATTTGTCCTGAAAATGTATAGATAAATGGGAAAAGCTGATAAATAGAGTGGAGTATCATCTGCATATCAGCAGAGAAAACACAATGTTTACAGCTGATAAGCTGTAGTTGAGTGTGACAGAAAAACAAGGTGCCCAGGACTGAAGCTTAGGGAACACCCCATGACATACTTTAATGCTTTTATTTAAATATTTTTACTCTGGACAGAAATCTACAGCAAAAACAAAAACATGAATACCTGAAGACCTGCATAGATCTCGTTTTGATGGAAAATCTGACCATTAAAAAGTCTGTCAAATTTAGCTTTAGCTTATTTCTTTTCATATTTCTATCTTAGGCACCGGTCACAACTTTCAGGGTGTATGTCTTATGTAGGTATTTAACTAAATTATATTTCTGCCCTTTTTTAATAATCTCCATTGTGCACATATACAACATAATCCTGGGAGAATTTAAAAATTCTTTATTTCAGAGTTAGTTTTTGGTCTGTAGACTGGAAACTTCTGATGACATTAAAATCTCCAAACAAAATGTGTCTCATGTAACTAATTGAATCAAATATCAATAAATGCTAAATGATCAAATTCAAGGTATGATGATTTGTATTTAAAATTTGTAAAATAGCCTAGGCCTTGCTGAGATATTGCTAATTTGTTCCCTCTCTCAGACGTCCTCTGGTCGGTTGGGTTGTCCACTGGTTGTTCCGGTTCTCAACATTCCTCGTTCACAATTCCACCTGCGAGCTGATGTCCTCCTCCTGTTTAGGGAGGCCGGTGTCGCCATGGAAACCCTGGTGTTCAGAGACGAGGTGGACCTGGTTCGTCTCCATGCCAACCGGAGGCTAGCACTGACGCTGGTGGACCACAATGTCCTGCCGAGGTCTGAAATACCAACACACAGAGCAATGTGCCGATCACATTCCTGCTAATCTGAAGAGTTATGTTCTTCAGTGCCGACAGCGACCTGGAGGCTGTGGTAGTAGAGGTCATCGACCACCACCAGCTGGAGAGGACCGCCTCCCTTTCCTGTCCTGTCAATGTGGAAATGGTAGCATCCTGTGCTACCTTGGTAACAGAGCGGATTCTGTCCAGACCACTGGAGATCCTGGACAAGCAGCTGGCATTACTGCTATATGGTGAGACATCCACATGCAAAACTGTTTGTTTGCAGATGTGAATTTGTCTCCTGTGTGTCCCTGCAGGTGTGAATGTGTCTCCTGTGTGTCCCTGCAGGTGTGAATGTGTCTCCTGTGTGTCTCTGCAGGTGCGATGGTGGTGGACAGTGTGAATCTGTCTCCTCTGGTCGGTAAAGTGACCGTTAAAGACAGTCAGACAGTCCATCTGCTGCAGATGCAGTTCCCTGATCTGCCACCAAGCAGCGCTCTTCACACTGCCCTGCACAAGGCCAAGTTCAGCATTTCAGGTAAACACATCTTCTACAGCTGCAGCATGAAGATATAAATGAGCTCCATTTATCAGGACACATGATGTCCATTCTGGAGCAGGTTTCTATTTCGATGTAACAAAATCAATTGAAATTTCAAGAAAATCTGCAAAATAAAACACAAATTAAAGCTTATTTCCATTCAGTCCTGTTACATATTTATGAGGTCACTGGCAGGTGAACCTGTCCTCCAGTGGGTCAAACTAAACTGCTGCAAAAAGAAGACATGGTCTTATTTTAAAAGGCTCCAGTTGAATCCCAAACAGGACAAAACATGATGAAAAGATTACATTTCACGTATTACTGAAAACAAGGTTACAGTTTTCTCATCACTCCACACACAGCTAGTGGTTTGATGTCTCCGCTTTATGCTCAGATGCAAAATGCGCATAAAAACTGATAGAGCAGGTACGTTTTTTGCAGGTTATACAGATGCGTTTCTTGCAGTTGGAACATGTACTAAAAGTTTTGGCTGCTCTAAAACAGCCTGAATGTTCCTGCTATGGAAAATAAATTAGTGAAAACCAGGTTGTAGTAATAAGATGATTTCTGTGCCAGGTCTCACCACAAATCACATCCTATTGAATAACATGAAGACAGTTGTCAGGGGCGACCTGAGAGCAGCCGCCAGCGTCGTCTACATGAGTCTGGATGTAAGTGTAATATGTGAATTAATGTGTGATTTGAGCTGTATTAATAAATCTTTTGACTGGTGGATGTGCGCTACATGAGCCTGTATGTTTATAATGTTGTAAACCATAAATTCGATAAGACTTGTCTTTCTAGTTTAATTTTAAATTAAATTCTTTCTTTTTAAAAAAAATCAAAACGAATACATTGTTTGTATACAGATTTTTATATGTGACCATGATTATATATAACATATATAATAATTGATATTACAGTTTTATGTATGTTTTAACAAATTAATTGAAAAGATAAACAGAAAATTAATCGGTAATGGATTTATAGTTGCAGCCATTTTTATGTTTTGTGTTTTTGCATTCTGACAAACTCACTCTGAGCCAGCAGGGGGTGCCTCTGAGCCTCTTTGAGCAGTGAATGCTGGGGGTTGTGTTTTCTCACTGTGACGTTTTTCCTCGTGTTGTCTCTGCCTCCAGTCATTTTTGCTCACAAAGAATCTGCAGCAGCAGCTCTGCGATTTCTGCCAGTCACACCGATTGGATGCTGTGGTTGCCATGACGATATCCTTCAGCGACCAGTCTTACAAGCCCGTGAGACAGCTGGTCATCTACAGCTCCAACTCGATGTTCAGGCAGGAGGTCAGTGCTGAGGGTGGAATTAACTTTTTGTAGTGAGTTTTTGGTACGTTTAGTGTTGGAATTAAGAGAGAAACAAAGATTAGGTTTAAGAAACAGAGTTTGTTTTACATTCAGGATTAACAGATAACAGGGTAGATTCAGGTTACAGTAATACAAATGTGTGTGTTTGCATTATATTTTCCTCATGCTCTGCCTTTCAGATTAGCCACGCCCTCCAAAACTCCCAGAGCCCCGCCCTCTGCCTCTCTCCTGCCAGCAGCCCATATAAGGACATCCTGGCCTATCACCAGGGCAACGCTCTGGCTTCTCGCAGTAAAGTCCTTCCTGTCCTCGCACACTTCTTGTCTCGCTGGCAGCAGGAAAATGGCGAGAATGGCCAGCTCGACCAATCAGACCTGATGATCTCTGATGCAACAGCTGATGACGGCCTGCCTCCTGTTTACACCGCCTCTGGTCACCACCGCCGGCGGCTGCAGCTGGGAGTGGAGGATTATGGAAATGGGCCACCGCCGCCGCCGATGAACAGCCTGGTGGACGGCTGCCCACTAGATGGCGACTTCAACCAGGAGGCTTTAATGGAGAAGTTCAGGAGGATGGGCGGGGTGGAGGAGGAGCAACATGGCGGAAACGGCGACTGAAGTTTCTCCTCTTCGAATTATTGCAAATGTGTGATATTAGAAAATTCATAGGAGCGGCTGTTGTTTTGTAATCAGTAAACGTTTATCTTCCAACCCGGCTGAGGTTTAATTTCCGTCACACACGCCAGAACAAACACAGCAGCAAACAAACTCCCATCGGTTGTGTAATCGACCATGAAAGCACCCACACACATGAACACAGTTCCACTTCTTGTACAGTCATAGTCGCCACAGTAACCTATTTCCATTGTCTACAACAAAATTGATGTGTTGCAAGAAAACTGGGGCGTTAATACGAATTAGGTAATCTTTTCTGCTACAGGGATTCAAGACAAGGTTATCAAAATTA